AAGCTTTGTTGAGGTGTTCCACATGCTGCAATGTAGTACGCTGGATGCCAAGCCCTGTTGAAGTGTACCACATGCCACAGTAAAGTACGCCGGACGCTGAGCCCTGTTGAGGTGTTCCACATGCTGCAGTGTAGTACGCTGGACACCAACCACTGTTGAGGTGTTCCACATGCTGCAGTGTAGTACGCCGGACGCCGACCACTGTTGAGGTGTTCCACATGCTGCAGTGTAGTACGCTGGACACCGACCACTGTTGAGGTGTTCCACATGCTGCAGTGTAGTACGCTGGACGCCGACCACTGTTGAGGTGTTCCACATGCTGCAGTGTAGTACGCTGGACGCCGACCACTGTTGAGGTGTTCCACATGCTGCAGTGTAGTACACCGGACGCCGACCACTGTTGAGGTGTTCCACATGCTGCAGTGTAGTACGCTGGACGCCGACCACTGTTGAGGTGTTCCACATGCTGCAGTGTAGTACGCCGGACGCCGACCACTGTTGAAGTGTTCCACATGCTGCAGTGTAGTACGCTGGACGCCGACCACTGTTGAGGTGTTCCACATGCTGCAGTGAAGTACGCCGGACGCCGACCACTGTTGAAGTGTTCCACATGCTGCAGTGTAGTACGCTGGACGCCGACCACTGTTGAGGTATTCCACATGCTGCAGTGTAGTACGCTGGACACCGACCACTGTTGAAGTGTTCCACATGCTGCAGTGAAGTACGCCGGACGCCGACCACTGTTGAAGTGTTCCACATGCTGCATGCTGGACAGTGAGGTATTCCACATGCTACGCTGGACGCCGACCACTGTTGAGGTGTTCCACATGCTGCAGTGTAGTACGCCGGACGCCGACCACTGTTGAAGTGTTCCACATGCTGCAGTGTAGTACGCTGGACGCCGACCACTGTTGAAGTGTTCCACTGCAGTGCTACGCCGGACGCCGACCACTGTTGAGTGTTCCACATGCTGCAGGTACGCCGACACCGACCACTGTTGAGGTGTTCCACATGCTGCAGTGTAATGTTCCAGTACGCTGGACACCGACCACTGTTGAGGTGTTCCACATGCTGCAGTGTAGTACGCTGGACGCCGACCACTGTTGAGGTGTTCCACATGCCTGCAGTGTAGTACGCTGGACGCCGACCACTGTTGAGGTGTTCCACATGCTGCAGTGTAGTACGCTGAACACCGACCACTGTTGAAGTGTTCCACATGCTGCAGTGTAGTACGCTGGACGCCGACCACTGTTGAGGTGTTCCACATGCTGCAGTGTAGTACGCTGGACACCGACCACTGTTGAGGTGTTCCACATGCTGCAGTGTAGTACGCCGGACGCCGACCACTGTTGAGGTGTTCCACATGCTGCAGTGAAGTACGCCGGACGCCGACCACTGTTGAGGTGTTCCACATGCTGCAGTGTAGTACGCTGAACACCGACCACTGTTGAGGTGTTCCACATGCTGCAGTGTAGTACGCCGGACGCCGACCACTTTTGAGGTGTTCCACATGCTGCAGTGTGGTACGCCGGGCACCACTAAAATTCATTTGGTACTCAGTAAGTAATGGTCATGCATTGTGTAACTCCCAGACAAATTCCTTCTGACAAGACTCGAGAGTACTTACATATTGCAAAGACGTGTTGAGTGGTATACCATATGCCCAGAGAACCAGCACCCGACAAGACTAGAGAGTGAGTGAGTGGGTAGGTGGGTTGGTGGGTGAAGGAGTGAGTGAGTGAGTGCATCTCTCCTTGATGCCCAGCTTGACAGATAGATAAACCAGATCGGAAAGTACCTTCCAGCATGCATTCTAAATGACAACAACGCGATCGACTTACACGCCGAAACGTCGTTTGTTTACGTGTCTTCGGTGGAAGTCATTTGGAAAAAGTTTTAAAATGAAAATGTTCTTTCAGTGGAAGTATTTTCAATTGGTGCCCGGACATCTTATACACGGGGTCTCTGGAGTCCACGCAGTAAATGTCACCGCCGCAGAGCTGGCCCTGTGATGTTGGACTATTGTGTTACAGATCGCCTTTTGACACGGTTATAACTCAATCAGCTGTGTTATGTTGTGTGGGAGGGCACTGTAGAATATCTCCTTGAACATGAAGAGAGGACAATTACCTCATGGAGACCCGCGGGACTTGTCATTTGGCCTATAGAAGGACTACAAAGTGTATTTGGTGGTGGAAGGTGTCTTATCACTTGTTTCCGGAACCGCCAAATAGGAAGAATTTCTTTATAACTGACTTCTAAAATACATTGAAGTGTCTTGAATAAGCTGTAATATGTATGGACTCGCTTTGAAATACCCCAGGAATTATATCACAGACGCACTTGCTTCATGAAACATCAGCAATAAAAAGCAAAAATATTCGTACCATCTTTCCCGAGATGTCTCACTGATTTGGGCTTTCTTTGAAACCATTGGCATGTGTTAGAATTGGTTGTGTTTTGGTTGGTTTTGTCTTTGGGTTGTCGTTTTTAATACCAATGTATAATTGATATTTATGCGTTGTCTGGTTGTACCAAGTGAAACATGCAGGTAAACATCCAAGGGCGGATCCAGGCGGGGTGCGGGGGTGCGCACCTCCCCAACACACACGCGCACTCACGCACGCACACCGATAAAATGTGCATAACCTTTGAACATTATGATTTATGTGCACACGCACACGAGCGCGCGCACACACACACACACACACACACACTTCTAAACAAATCCTGGATCCGCCCCTGACATGGCGTCTGTAGATTTTGGTCAAGGACATCCACCTCACATAGAACACTTGATTATTTCGGAAAAGGGGATCGGGAGCGTCAGCAAATGACTCAGTTAAAAGGAATTATGTCAAAGCCTGTACCCACCTCTGTGTCGTATTTTAGAACGCCATGTCCGGTGTTATCTACCCTGTTATATACGTGAATAACAACTGGTTTAAAGCTGACCACATCCATAGAGCGGTCAGCCAGCTATACATACATACACACACCACAACAACAGTTGATCCAGCCACAGGCAGATGTTGTCACCAGACCAGCTTCTCATAAAGTGGGTTTGGTAGATAAAAGTCGACACTATGAGTGTGTAATATGTCCGCCCCCTACACGTGTACACAATGTAATGAGTGAGTGAGCATACTTTTACACCGCTCTTACCCAAGGGTCTGAGACGTGGTGGACAGCGCTGTAGACCTGCCACGACTGTATATCAATTTACCTGGGTCCGACTACATCGTCGTCATGTAACTCAAATAGAACTGAACGTAGGGTTAAACACACTATAAACATTACCGCTCGTCTTGTCCCGGGAGGTAAGGTTCCTGCTCAATGGCTCTAGGACTGACTGACTGAGTTTGGCTTTACGCCGCTTTTAGCAATATTCCAGCAACATCACGGCGGGGGACACCAGAAATGGGCTTCACACGTTGTACCCATGTGGGGATTCGAACCCGGGTCTTCGGCGTGACGAGAAAACGCTTTAACCACTAGACTACCACACCACCCCTCAATGGCTCTAGGAAGAGACACGGACACACATTTCGGCACACCAGTCATGTGTTTGTTCTAGCAAAGATATACAGAAGTGTACAGCACATTGTTACTCTCACCAACAGACACTTACACCTGCTCTTCTTCATTTGACATCATGACATGTGAACATGCCAACCACCTCCAAAGTCGCATCTCCTTTTAGGAACCAGCACAACATCCCATAAAGATGGCAGTTTGGGAGCCCTTAAAATAAGATACAGGCAGCTATTCCGATAGGCAATTATGTTATTTATAATGTACGCAATTATACCGACACAAAGCCTAGCAAACTGTGTATGTTAAGAGAAATCGATAAAAAATCTTCAAAAAATGTTTATATGTTGAGGAGTCAACCACAATAATGTCTGCCAGGTAAAGAAACACAATATTCATGACATTTGTTTCCAAACACAATTCCTAGGGGCTTTTCTCAGATTAAAATGTATAAGTTCAAGTGGTGTTTTGTCGATTTGTTGCGGTTTACTAATTAGTCACTGTAGCCTGGAGTAAACATGGCAGACAGTGTAGTCTGAACCTGTGTAGGGAGGATACATTACAAGGGCAGGAACACCAGGCACCTTCCACAAGGGTCTTGTGATGCTCTACACTATGATGATGTATATTTTATGTACGCTTCAAATAATTGCGATATTACAAGAGAGACTTCCCTATGCAGTATTGGCAGCCCCAGATGACCCAATTTAGTCTGGGATGGAGTGTAAAGTTTCATACGGTCATACACCTCCGACACTGACAACATCACACAATGTCTGTGTTGTAAAGCTTGGTTTATTAGGCAAGTGGTGCATGTGGTCTCCAGCCACCCACACCAAACACAGATACAGAGGAATAACAAGGCAACAGTGTTTGTGTACAGGTCAGAGGCCTTCAATACATTAAATATACTGGAAGTGACTAGTAAAATCAATACTTCATGGTTCTCCTGTGACAGAGTATAATGACCACATGGGGTGCTATGAGCCTTCACCTGCCAGGCAAGAATGGAAATGGTTGTTTTGTGTCTTTCTTGACAAATATTACCCTCAGCAATATTCAAGCTATATGGCATGGTGAACACATTCCCCCCAGACAACCTAGTGACTGATATAATGAACAACAAGCTAGGTCATGTGGTGACATGCAATCAACCAAGTTCACCTGAATGGTTGTAGTGCCTCGTATGACAGGCATACTGACTGAGGCTCTGTCTCAGCCTGGTGAGCGGCCCTCACTCTGTAGCCTGAGCACCATGTATTCTAGTCTCTCGTACAGACCCTGAAGCAAATATATCCAAGAAAGCCCACACAAGTCTAGAAATGTGGCAAGTCTAGATTTCCTCAGCTTCAGGTCTGAAAATGAAGAAGGTCTCAGGGCTCCTTTTCATTATATTTCATATTTTTTTACTATGAACTTTTTTCAGTAAAATATGTTCGTTTCAGAGACTAGTTGTTAGTCTACATGTATTCCACACCTAGGTGTATGATAAAAGGACAAGTAAAATCACAGAGACAGACTGAATACACAAAAGTACAACATGAACTCAGTTTCTTGACTGGATAAATATACAAAAATCTTTCTTCATGCATCAAATAAATAACAGAAAATACAGGGTGGGAAGTTTGGTTGGAAAAGTGCCACTGATTAGAAAGAGCACACAATCCTGAAAGTTATATAAATGCTATCCTTGGTTCTATATCGCCATACTGATGAGACTGTTTCATTCACAGGTGAGATATATGGTGGTGGAAGTGACTATATCACACCAGGGCATGTAGGAACCAGCAGTCAAACCTCAGCTTTCAACAATGTGATGTTTTCAAATATGCAGTCAGTAAGATAGTCCCAATTAAAAAATCATATTATTTAAAACACAAATAACTGTTTCCATGGTGATGGTGGCTGCCGAGACTATCTGACAGCTTGTGCAGCTCTGGGGTAGGGCTGGATGAATTCCTTGATTATGAGAGAATCAATCCAACTGACTGGCAGGATCGTTTTCAAGTAGATCAAAATCTGGAAAAACAAACATTCCTAAAATGTAACGAATTATATCTAATATTTGGCTGAACTGAAGCTAGTCAACTCTGATCCAGGCAAATAACAGGGTTGCAATAAAGTACAACTGCACAGGGAAGGATACCACACCATCAGGACAGGTTACCACACCATCAGGATAGGTTACCACACCATCAGGATGAGTTACCATACCGTGTAATGAGGACAGGTTACCACACCATCAGGGCAGGTTACCACACCATCAGGGCAGGTTACCACACCATCAGGGCAGATTACCACACCATCAGGGCAGGCTACCACACCATCAGCGCAGGTTACCACACCATCAGCGCAGCTTACCACACCATCAGGGCAGGTTACCACACCATCAGGGCAGGTTACCACACCATCAGGGCAGGTTACCACACCATCAGGGCAGGTTACCACACCATCAGGGCAGGTTACCACACCATCAGGACAGGTTACCACACCATCAGGGCAGGTTACCACACCATCAGGGCAGGATACCACACCATCAGGGCAGGTTACCACACCATCAGGACAGGTTACCACACCATCAGGGCAGGTTACCACACCATCAGGGCAGGTTACCGCACAGTCAGTCTTAGCACTCATTTCATCCAACCTATGGCTCCATCACCACAGTGAGTGAGATGGGTTTAAAGGGGCACTGATCCAGAGCTATTAATGTTTCCAGCCAACAGTCTAATTACAAAACCTAACTGCAAACTGGTCAGCCCCTGCTCCCTCGACCATGACAGACACAGGGACTGGGCTACTGTCCACCTTGGCAGAATTTCTTTCACCTAAACAATGGGGCATTAGGAAGGGTGGATGCCCATCAGATGCTTTTATTTGAAAATATCCCCAGTAGTTCTTGTCTGATTGTAATAAAGTATCCCAGCAGTGTAGGCTTTTTCAGATTTTCAAATGCTTGGATGGTATAGTGACTGATCCAATTTGATCCTATTTCTGTGTTTTTTACTTCAATATTTAATCATGTAAAAATATTATGTCTATTACCTATAGAGCTGTGTATCGTGGCCTAAGTGGCGAGACGATATATCCCGATACAAGTTTAATGAGGCGAGATGACATATCATGAAAGTATTTGCAAGGAACCTGCGAGATGATTATCATCACGATACAATGGTGGTGATACAATACGTATCCCGATACTTTACAATTTCTAATAACAGAACACATATGATAGATAAAATGACTGAAACTTTATTTGTTATACAGCAGAACATTCACACACACTTAAAAAGCTGTTCATCTAATAAAGTTTCAGTATTTAATGCTTAAGAAAGTCAAACATATTCAGTATACCTTGATTTAATATATATAAATCTGAAAGTGAAGTTTCCCTTGGGAAATAGTGTTTCTACACTAATGCTTTCACAAACAACTCAATGTAATTTATATCAGCATTCAGAATCACTTAAGCCTGCTTACTAAATTTTCTCTTTGTTCTCTTTCTTAACAACGCTAAGACATCGTTCATAGTTGTAAATAAATGGTGTTATTTGTCAAACAACTAAAACATAGCTGCATATTTCAATTACTTGAAGACAATTATTCTGTGGCCTATACACCAACTCCTTTGTTCATGTAACAGAGATAACAGACACAAACGAATTCCTTTAAAGTTCAATTTGTTTTTAAAATTCAGAAGAATTTCAAAGAAACTCCTTACCTATTCCTAATGCAATACACCTTACAACTTTAAGTAGTATTTAAGTTGTGTCGGGATATATCGTCTCTGTGGCGATACATCGATGTATCATGGACCCTCGCGATATAAATATCCTGATATATTGCCTAAATGTGTTTTGTATCGATGCACTCGTACCGCGTAGTTGACGATGTAAACAACGATACTATCGATGAATCGTTACACCACTAATTACCTAAGCTATGATATCAAAAACACACTTTTGAGGTATTTGAATCCGTAAACTAAACAACCCCACTTTGCCATTGCTAAAAAAATCTGAAATTTTACTTAGGTACATAGGTTTATACAATTTTTAACTAAGCTAAACCTACACATGTTATTTGTCATCATTCACTTGATGGTCAGTTAATGAATTTAAAACAGGTATAAGTAGTGATAACACCACTCAGAGTACCCAACAAAGGTTCCCATTTGGCATTTCTTGTCTGGAGTATAAATACTCATCATTATGAATTGAGGTCTGATGTGGCAAATGTATTACATCTTATGTAATACGCTCATGGAAGTGCAGTAAGAGGAATTGTCAGCTGAGTTACAAAACAAACATCGGTCAAAGGATAAACCGATAACACGCTGATTGAATAATTGCTTTTATCCTGCACAGCAGATTTGTCAAAAGGTAGTGTTTATGTATGTAGATTTACTAATTTATACTGAATATTTGTCAAAAGGTAGTGTTTATGTGTGTAGATTTACTAATTTATACTGAATATTTGTCAAAAGGTAGTGTTTATGTTTGTAGATTTACTAATTTATACTGAATATTTGTCAAAAGGTAGTGTTTATGTGTGTAGATTTACTAATTTATACTGAATACACCCTGTCATAAAGTGTCTGTGTAAAAACAATGTCCTTCCTTCAATGGATTAACCGCCAATACATTGATTGATGGCTCATTATTGGCTAACTATACTTTCTTAAAGAATGGGGGACATCGTGCAATTAGTTGCCAGGTGTGCTATCTTGGGTGACCAATGGGAATATACACCAATGTGAAAAACCTGAAACAATAGATCACTTTTTCGCATATTAGACTGTTAAAAGACACATGACATGGAACAAGATTCTTTGTCAGCTGCAGATGAATGGCATCTCAGTCCTTTATGTGGATATTGATGGATACATTCCCCGAACAAGGTAATAGCCTGATATTGTTGCTATAACTTTCGTCTGTTTTAATTTTAATATTTGCAGGTTTTTTTTATTAATTTGTTATAGCATTCAACAGAATCATTTTTTTGCCGAGAAGTGTAATGAGACAGACAACATACACTAGGTCGCACTTAGGGCGTGTGTGTGAAATATGATTCATGTTCGCAATCTATAAAATGTCTAGATATTACAGTCATGTTATAAATTCACTAAGTATAAGCAGATTGTGTGCATTTTATTAAGTTTCAAAATGCATACAAATATGCATAAACTAATTAGGATTATAAGACAAAATATATAGATGTACATTGACTTCATTATTTCAGTCCTAACATTTCTTCCACTGGCAGATTGTTAATCTTCAAAATGTTTTCATTTGTTACGAAAATAATGAAGATGGAAATATTTTCGAGTAAAAATGATTTCATCTTTGTTGATTTGTTTATACTTATACTATCAATTGCGCATGAGGGTGACGCAGCAGAGGTAATGAACCAGTCATGAATTCTGGGATATCATCCGGGTACTCACGGGAGAAAAACAATAACATTAGCAACAACCAGTCCACGGAAATTGCTCTGGATCAGTGCATCTTTAACAGCCACCTAAATCTGACATTAAAACTGTTCATCTATTCCTTCATGCTGTGGTAAATACATCTCCTTCACCACAGTAAGTTCCTGCATTATCTCATCTCTATTAAAGATAGTGGTCATTTTCATAAGAGAAATAATTCCAAGCTAAGAAAAAGGGGACATAATTAAAACCCATTTTTGCTAAGGGAGGTAACTCTAGAGAGTTGTTGAAACGGAGCATGTCCAGATGGGTAAACAAACCTGTGTAATGTAATTCATGAAAAACGCTGATGTGTAGCAGCATTGGTCAACAGGTATCATTAATCCGATATGTACACATCATGTTTTACAACAAACATGAGGAGGTGAGGTGCCCTGAAGCCACAGTTCGTGTTATCAGAAAAAGCCTGTATTTCTAAATCTCTAGGCATGGAACAAAATGTGAGAGGAAAACTGCAGCTGCAGTTACAAAGATGATGCAAGGCTGCCACAGGAAGTCTCCAACACATTACACCAGGATACTTACAACAAAGAAGTCAACCCACTGGTTGCTGCCGCTGACAAGATATCTGGTGAGGGGATTGACATTACACACTGAGTCCTCCAGGGCATCAACGACAGGTGCCAGGGTGGAGCATGTGGTGGAGGCAGACTGGGCGATTGCATCATATTTGGCATCTAGGTACGCCTTGCCGTACGTCTCCTTCACATCACTGGAAGCCTTCTCCCACATCTCGTCATATTCATCTCGCATCCTCGTCAACTGCAAAATCAAGTAACATCCATTCTATCTCCTTATGTCTGCTCTTTATAAGAGATTACCGAGATAATATAGGCAAAGATTACCGAGATAATATAGGCTAAGATTACTGAGATAATATAGGCAAAGATTACTGAGATAATATAGGCAAAGATTACTGAGATAATATATACTAAGATTACTGAGATAATATAGGCAAAGATTACTGAGATAATATAAGCTAAGATTACGGAGATAATATAGCCTAAGGCTACCGAGATAATATAGCCTAAGGCTATCGAGATAATATAGCCTAAGGCTACCGAGATAATATAGCCTAAGATTACTGAGATAATATAGGCTAAGATTACTGAGATAATATAGGCTAAGATTACTGAGATAATATAGGCAAAGATTACTGAGATAATATAGGCAAAGATTACTGAGATAATATAGCCTAAGGCTACCGAGATAATATAGGCTAAGATTACTGAGATAATATAGACTAAGATTACCGAGATAATATAGCCTAAGGCTACCGAGATAATATAGTCTAAGGCTACCGAGATAATATAGGCAAAGATTACTGAGATAATATAGCCTAAGGCTACCGAGATAATATAGCCTAAGGCTAACGAGATAATATAGCCTAAGATTACTGAGATAATATAGGCTAAGATTACTGAGATAATATAGGCTAAGATTACTGAGATAATATAGGCAAAGATTACTGAGATAATATAGGCAAAGATTACTGAGATAATATAGGCTAAGATTACTGAGATAATATAGACTAAGATTACCGAGATAATATAGCCTAAGGCTACCGAGATAATATAGTCTAAGGCTACCGAGATAATATAGGCAAAGATTACCGAGATAATATAGCCTAAGGCTACCGAGATAATATAGCCTAAGGCTACCGAGATAATATAGGCAAAGATTACTGAGATAATATAGGCAAAGATTACTGAGATAATATAGGCAAAGATTACTGAGATAATATAGGCTAAGATTACTGAGATAATATAGACTAAGATTACCGAGATAATACAGACTAAGGCTACCGAGATAATATAGTCTAAGGCTACCGAGATAATATAGCCTAATAGGCTACCGAGATAATATAGCCTAATAGGCTACCGAGATAATATAGCCTAAGGCTACTGAGATAATATAGCCTAACATTACTGAGATAATATAGGTTAAGATTACTGAGATAATGTAGGCTAAGATTACTGAGATAATATAGGCTTACATTACTGAGATAATATACACCAAACATACAAAGTTGTGCAAATGACTGAACCAGTAACCAGCAACAAGATCATTCACAATGTTGTAATTCTTCTGACAATAAATTACCAAAACTTCCTGTATTAAACTACAGTCAAATCCCGATGAGTCGAATCTCTGGGGACCAAGTAATAAATTCGACTTATCGATGTATTCGAGACATAGGTATGTCTATGAGGGTAGAAAAAAGATGATCCAGTCCTAATTCCTCCGCCTAAGCATTTGTTTATCTAATGATTTCCCTATCACTAATAGGGGCACCTTATCAGTTCCAGTCTGATTAGCACAGACAGTGATTTCCGTAAAATCACTAATCTGCCTTTTGAACTCACCCGTCAAAGGCGGAAAGGTGTGAGCCGCGCTGGTTTGTTAATTGGATCAGTTTGCTACACCAATCAACTTCTCATTGACTGACTTATGTATACAAGATTGCTGTTGTTTGAATCTCATGGGACCAAATTTTCTGCTCGAGTCATCCTGTGTATTTATGAGACGAATTCGCGTAACCGGTATTCAAATGATGACAACTATAACAGGGAATGGTCAGGGCCTACAGGTACTTCGAGTTATGCATAATATTCGAGACACCGGCATTCGACTCATCGGGATTTGACTGTAATTGTGAATTTGTAAATGGTTTTGCACATAATAAACTTTACTTCAACAGTGATGAATGATTAGGCTTTTCCTGAGTGGCTCACTCTTCCAGATCAAAGTATCAGACTCCATTGATTCCTTACCGTGGGTTTGCTAAGCATGCCAGTTGCACCACCAAAGTTGCCAGGCTCCACAACCACAACCTTCACGTCAAACTGGCTCAACTCTAGACGCAAAACATCGGACACTGATTCCAGTCCAAATTTGGAGACACCACAGACAGAGTTGCCGGGGGCAGCAAGCTGACCTTTGGCACTACTCACATTTATGACCCTACCTGGAAGACAAGCAGTTTGACCATGTCAGAGTTCATCCACAGCAGTGCTCACATCAAACAGTTCACCCAGATACAGTGATCAAATAATCATTGTTTACCCCAGTTGCAACATTCATCAGACAATATTTACATCAGTGTTCACATCAGACAATATTTACATCAGTGTTCACATCAGACAATATTTACATCAGTGTTCACATCAGACAATATTTACATCAGTGTTCACATCAGACAGTGTTTACATCAGTGTTCACATCAGACAATATTTACATCAGTGTTCACATCAGACAATATTTACATCAGTGTTCACATCAGACAATATTTACATCAGTGTTCACATCAAACAATATTTACATCAGTGTTCACATCAGACAATATTTACATTGGTGTTCACATCAGACAATAGTTACATCAGTGTTCACATCAGACAATATTTACATCAGACAATATTTACATCAGTGTTCACATCAGACAATATTTACATTGGTGTTCACATCAGACAATATATACATTGGTGTTCACATCACACAAATTCGATGAATAGAGTCCTCCTTGGGGAACATATAAGCATTAAAATGTCCATTTTAAATCCCTACGACAGTTGTAACTATATTTTGAGTAAACATATTTACAAAACAAAAACTTGTCTTGTGAGACCACCCCTAGGGCCACACGGACCCCTGACGGCCAACAGCATGTAACTCTAGGCTATAACCGCATACCTCACTTTCCATGCTGTCGTTCTTGTTATCAGACGTGTGTGATGTCCTTTCCTTCTAATAAGAGTTGGACTCTCTATGAAAAAAACATCTAACCCGAAGACAAATACCCCTGCTCAAGGCAGATCCCCAACCCATCCATCTTCCAGATACCTTTAACAAATATAGTTGACCTTAACTACTCTGCATAGGAATCCTTTATGACATGCAAGTTGAATCAGTACCTGGTGCATGTATCCACTTTCAGTAGAATTAATGTCTCACCTTTAGCTCGCCTAATGAGAGGAAGAAATGCTTTGGTCATGCGAATAGTTCCGTAAAGGTTGACCTCCATCACCTGTCGGTACATGTCCAGTGTGCAGAATTCAAAGTCCCCCTCAAAGTTGATGCCAGCATTGTTTATCAGTGCCCACAGTCCTGCATGTACAAGTAACAAATCCAGATGTTGGTGCTGCTATCACAGACAGAGTGAGTCTAGTTTTACATCGCTTTTAGCAATATTCCAGCAATATCATGGCGAATGACACCAGAAATGGGCTTCACACTTTGTACCCATGTGGGGAATGGATCCCGAGTCAATAACAAAAACCAATCATTGACGGAACTGATTCACTGGAACAAAAACTATTCAGTACAGAAGTAACCATATCAAGCAAACAAATCTATCTGTAAACATTACCACACCATGGTAAATGCAGTCAGGAGACAGCAGCTGTCCATGTGTTTATTACAATTTATCTTACCTTCATGTAAAATACTTTCATTTCATTGGTCAATGACGGTTTAACAAGTTTCCGAGGCACCCTCACAGGAGGGTGACAACTGGAAGAAATATTATCCGCTGCCACGGTAACCGCCAAGAAGCTGAAGCACTAACAATCGTATGACGTCATAATATGACGCATGCCGTGCCCGGAGTTCGAAAACCGTTCGATCAGCTGTTTTTGTGTTCACTTTGTACAGATTTATTTGACCAACTTTCACTTCATTATTTAAGCTATTTTATACATTAAGCGGTTTGCAAACTCAGCTTAAACATAAATAACAAATTTCATAACAGTTTTATGCTTGTCAGAATATGCTTCACTGATGTTAAAAATCCAGTCGAGAGGCAGATGCCATTTTGTTTGCATGTCATATAGTCGGTAGTGATCTTTAGCATAAAATAACATTATAATTTGTACATTTAACATGGCGGTAAGATAAATTTGTTGTATGCTTCTCCCTCGGGTAATACGGTCTGATGTACACCTCTTTGTAGCAGTGTTATCCCTCGCATACCGGCTCGGGTGACACTGCTTCAAAGAGGCGTACATCAGACCGTATTACCCTCGAGAGAAGCATACAACTTATATTTTAAATGCTGGAAGACAATTATTTATCCACGAGTTACAAATCCTTCAAATATTATCTGGTTTCCTCACAGAATAAGAGTTGTGAGTCTACAGTATGAACTGACCTCTCTCACTGGTCAGCTGATTGACCATCTCCAGACAGCTCTCCACGCTGTAGTCACTGGTTACATCGAGCTCAAACACATGGATCCGGCCGGACGCGCTGGCCTGGAGTCTCTCAGCACCACTGCCCTTTTCATTCAGACAGCCAGCCAGCACCAGGAAGCCCATGCTGTCCAGTCTTCTTGCAATGGCATTGCCAAATCCTGGTAAGAATAAGTAATCAATCAGTAAGAAGCAAGCAGATATGGAAATATCAATGCAGTTAGGCAGGGAAATATGCTGAATATCTTGCTATCGCTAAATGACCAGTCAGGTGGTTATTGTCTAACACTGCAACTTTCCAGAGTGTGACTGCTGCATATAAATAGATAGACCAGACAATTCACTGATTGATATCATGAGCAACAATTATCATCCTGGATGAGTTAATTACACACAATCAAGCAAGTTTGACCATCTATTCCATTAAAGGAGCACTGATCTAGTCTCACACTGTCTCATTGATCTCATTAACTGCCATGAGATGTTTTGCCAACGGAGTGTGACATGAGACTGGGGTTGTCCTCCCATAAGAACTACAGCTTAAAACAACACATGTTATGATCCAGTGCACAGATTAACTACATGCTGTCACCTGCGTCTGCTTAATGGATTTGCCCAGCACAAAACAAATAAAACATATATAACATATTTTGCTGCAGCAGTTCATGTTGGTTTTGACAGTAAATAGTTTGCCTTCACAAAAAAGTAAATTTGCAGTCTTCAGTTATGATTGAACAAGTTCCGCATCGAGGTGTTTGACATTTTGTTACACTGACAGTAGTAGTAGAGGGGGGGTTTTGCCACACATGCGGCTTAGAGGCTTATTTGTGTGAATGAAGCCTCCCAGCCCCCCTTAAAAAAATAGCAAGAGACATCCTTCGATGTCCCATCAGCCTAGACCCAAAGTTCCGAGCACTGAGTTACCAGCCGGCTCGCCAGTGTGATGGTTAGAGCGTTGGACTCGTAATTCAGGGTTCACGCAAGGTAATCCGTAATATTGAGGGACAACTTTGTGGATGGGGTCTACCATTAACTCGTCCAAGTAAGCTACGGAGTAGGTGGAGTACGGGGCGATGCGTTCCCTGGTTGTCAGGCTATAATCGACTAATGTATCCATGAGACGTTGTAACCGTTCGGTGCCCACGAGACCTAAACTATCGTACAGGCTGGTGAATTTCCCTCGACTTATGACTCGACGCAGGGCAGCGTAAATATCAAGGCCACTGACATCCACCCCTACGCGTCTGAACAACCGTTTCTCGATCAATCTCCACATGTTGATAATGAGATACATAAGAACGTTAAGATGTTTTGATGTTCTCAAGGCATGTCGATTCGGACGACCGTCTCTCCCACACCTCGGCAATCCTAACGGTGCGCTTCCAGCAGCGTCTTCTCGCTTGAAACCGTGCAGGCATCGTTCGCAGAAATGTTTCTTTTCCTTGTGGTTTGATTGGTCGTACAACAGTAGGCTCAGACTTTTGATCCATGCGTAGTGAAACGGGTCGCCTCTTTCGACGAGAAATAAATTGATTCTGCGCACATCATCGGGCCTGGAGCTGATTCAGTGCACGATCGTCGTACTGCCTTCGTGGCCGAAGACGTTGATGGCTAAACGGTTTTGTTTTTCCACCTTCGTCATTTGAGAGATGGGTTTGGGTGCGTCTACACCGTCCAAGTTCAGCCCATCGTCTGCGGGATAGCTCGAAGGTCTGTTCGCCACTTTAGAATCGGCAGGGAATAAGGCAGATCTCAACACCCATCGTAAGCAGTAATCATCGTTGTTTTTAACGTTCACGATTGATTTCTTATTGTTGTAATACGGAGGCAAGTCAAGGTACGATCCTTCTCTGAACGGTACATAGTTCGCTATATCCAAATAGATGGTGTTGATACTTCCCACCACCCACCCGGGAGCCCCTGTTCGTCCATCGTTCCAACGATTCTTGTATTTTTTGTAGCGAGGTATCGAGGGTCGAAGGGATCGAGTCGGATTGAAGTACGACTTCCTGCCTGCCTCTGAGGTAAGGCTCAATGGAATAACCCTTCAATCCCGTTCTTTAGCTCGGAGTTTGAGGACTCACACGGTAGGTGGCTTGACATATATCATGTTGAGCAAGGTGAGCAGTTGGGGTTTCCACATGCGAGAATAACCCACCAATCCACGACTTTTAGCGAGAGCTTTGAGTTCGCCGACGGTCGTCATGATTGCTATATCCACATGGAAAGTCAAATGTCCAATTGATTGATATATCCACATGCAAAGTCAAATGTCTAATTGGTTGTTTTTTCAAAGGGAGATAATTCCATCAGCCTTCTCTTTTGAAAATGAAGCGCACATAAAATCTTCTTTTAAATTTTTTTTTTTCTGAGGAGTCGGTTACGTTCATTGAGATAATCTTTTTTCTTCTCGTAAATAAAGTTGGTTTCACAAAACCCTTTCCGATAGACATCATGTGTATGCCGCAGTACTCCTCGATCCTGCATTTCTTGCCGCAAGTCTCGGCTTTTCCCAGAAGCACGTATTGACAACGATACGGAGCGGGCCTCATCTTCGCTATATGCACTTAGATATATTTTAGTCTAAACGCTTGGCGACGAATACGGTGGCGGATAATCCTAAGGCCATAAAAATCAGCTCCTGGTTTTGCTGTGCCTTGGGAGGGGTGTAAAACTGAGAGACGGTGGGTTCGCCGCCGAAGGGGACGAGCTGTTTGCCCGTCATCAGGTAGTATTGTTGCATGGCGTCGTCAACGTCCTTGAACGTTCGAAGGGCTTGGTTTTTGCGTTGGAGTTGGGCGTTGATGAAATCGATTCTTTCCATGCATTTTTTTCGCATACTCTCGGCTTGCGCGGCCTGCAGTTTCTCCACGGCCAAATCGTGACGTTTCTGTTCCGCTTGGATTTCGGCCGCGTTGGACGTGCCTAATCGGGAAAAGAGATGAGGAGGAGACCCCCCACCGAGTGATTGATACCGTCACGAAGAAACCCAAGAATAAAAAAAAAGTAGCCGCCGGTAAAAAAGGGGGGTTAGCTAAGCATCATAAACCAAATCCGCCGTGGATTTCGTATGCCGTGGCAGCCGCTGTCGTGGGTATCACCGCAGTCGTATGGCTCTATCAACAAAAGGTGGTGGTGACCCCATCGACAAAACCACAATTAGAGGTAAACCCACACGTTATGTTATAATCATATCTAACCCCGACGAAAAAACGTTCATAAAAGACGAGTATCATGCCGCTGTGGTCAGCGGGCTGGCCATAGGCTAAGCTGGATTGAGCAAAATGATCACCAAACAACCGGCACCCAAACTCGATTTCAACCTGCAAGACATGGGCATGCTCATGCTAGACTTGGGACTGCGATGGCCACCAAAGATATGCTCGTCAAGCAAGGCATCATTCCGGAAAACATATTACAGTAAGAAAGTATAAAATATATAAAAAATGGCCACGGTCGCGATCATGCTCGGCGGGGCTCTCATCAACGCCCTGGCCTTTTCGGGGATTAGGTCAACCCGACCGTAGGCGGTCAGGCGAGAGCAGCTAGGCAACAGCTACTGTTTAGATCAATGCACATCAAGCAAACTGGTTTTTTTAGATTTTAGCAATGTAACTCATATGCTTTCCAAGCTTATGTAACCCGATTTTAAAATAATTGATTGTGGCTTCTAAAAATGTTTTTCAGCGTCTGGTTTCAAACATCCTTTTCGCTACAACCAGCCAGCACCCCTAATACGGCTGTGTGCTTTGCTTTGTATTCAATACACGCGTGACAGGCCACAGCCAGATAAATAGTTAGTTTGTTTTGCCTCCCGGTGTTAGCGCTGTCGAGTTTGACTGTTGCTAGGTTGGATGACCGCTTAGCAACGCCGGGATCGGTCTACTCGCCGTTGCTAAGCTCGGCAGCCATCTTGCTTGGCTTAGCAACGACGGGTAAGGCAGACCTGGCGTTCGTTACTAGGCTGGACGGCGATCTTTGTTTAGCTTAACGACGAGAAGACTGATCCCAGCGTTACTAGGCTGGACGACCATCTTGTTTAACTTAGCAACGACGGTGCTTGTTTCACTTGCAAAAGTTTCCACCAATACCCCATCTCGAACTCGGCGTCGCTTGATTACGAGTCCAACGCTCTAACCATCAAACTGGCGAGCCAGCTGATACTTCAATGCTCGGAAATTTGGGTCTAGGCTGGAGGCACATCAAAGGATGCCTCTCAATAGACCATCGCCGTTTTTAAGGGGGCTGGGGAACTTATTTCATAAAAATAAGCCTCTAAGCCGCATGTGCATCAAAAAAAGACCTCTACTACTACTCTGACTGATAAACCTTTTTTCATAGTATCACTTTAATACAAAATTGGAAGATTTGCTTTTATAATGGGCATAATTGTACAGTTATTAGGATTGTAGGTACAACAAATGGAAGAATGTCCATCTCTGTATTTGTTTCTGTTGTTTAAGTGTCTCTCTTGGGACTTTTACTGCTTTATGAACAGCATTTCAACTCCCTAAGAATATATGTCCTATATATCTATTACATATTACATATTGTCACTAACTGTAATGTCATACGCATCATGATGACATAGCTACTACCGTTATGCGTCGCCCATGACGACGCTTACTTTTCATTGTACGCATGAAGAACCATTGACCGGCGAAAGATCTTGTGCAGATCAAGTCTGTAGTTTTATATGTAGATGTATAGATAGTTCATCTATAGATAGGCTTAAATATTTAGTGTGATAATTTAGTGTCACTTTCATCCTCAGTGTTCAATCTGATCCATGTAGAACTAGTTTAGCCCAGCTTCAATAAGTAGCCAACTGCATCAAGGTCCTGGGTTGCAGTCTACAACAATACTATTTTAACTTAAAAACTCATTCGTTTATATTTTGCCTTTACTACAATATACCTTTACCATTACTCCAATGTACTAAGCTTGGCGTGTTTTTATTCCTATCATATGAATACAAGAACATTCACTAACTACAACATACCTTTCTCTCTTGTCCTTTACTTTCTGGTTAATAGATTACCTTTACAACAACATAATTACTGGTCAATAAGAGTTTAAGCATGTAGTTCTTTTGAGATGATGGGCTGAACTCATTACATACCATGGGGGGTGCCTCTACTCAGATAATTAATTCCTAATTAATCCCTGTAGTTAATTTGGGATGTAGTTCAAATGGGATGTAGTTCTTATGGGAGTAAACCAGACTGAGCTACTGTTTGTTGTCTTCATAAACTTTGAGACAATGTTCATATGCATACGAAAGGGCACATGTTCATTAATCTCTTCATCTTAAACAAGCACAGAATGTGTGCATGCCCATCAGATGCCGTTAGTCAGTCTGATTTTAATAAAGTATCCCATTAGTACTGCAAGCATTTTCGGATTTCGGATGTATGAATGGTATGACAACTGTTTTGAACCTTGATATGTCAATTGACCTATCATACTAAAAACACACATGATATATTTGCAGTTGAAGCACCTGCAGTCAAATTCCTTGCATTTACAGATCTGAATTTCTTTTGTTCCCCGAAGGCCTGGCCAGTGAATTCAGTTGGAACATCAGTGAAACCCTCTTCCGTGTCGTGACTGGCACGATTAACCCACCTGAATCACAACCAGTAATGAGAACAGCCTGTCCTGTGATTTCAATAGTCTTGTTCATCAACCTCTTGAAGAGATAGTAGAAGCCGGACACTCCAATAACAGTGAGGATGATAAGACCTACCACCTTCTGGGCCACAAAGAAGGGCAGGAAGGCGAGGACAAGGAGGTAGATGAGTTCAAACACCTGATGCTGAACAAACTGCTTCAGCTTCATGCCGCCTCTGAAAAATGTGGTAGGTCTTGGTTGAGGAGGATCGGATACTTGACACTTGGTTTTGGTGGCTGTGTAAATGAAAAATGAGATTTGCATTTTTCAAAATTCCTTAATACTGATTACTCTGCAAATATTTAGATTAATGAGAATGTGTTTTATGAGCATGAGTAAAGGAGATGAGCGATGGAGTGAGTTTGGAAAATATGCCACTTCAGTCGGTCGATCATGAGTACAGGTCCCCACTGCAGCTTAGTCTCATCAATATTTAAAGAAAGAACATTTGATGTTCCAAATTCAGATGTGATCAACAATAATCACAGAAAGTTTAAAACAGCTGATGAATATTGTGTCAATTAAGGCACAATGAGAAATTATATAGAAAGATGAAGAGAAAAAGAAACGTACACAAAAGATGCCGAAAGGGTCTGTGTATCTCCAGTTGGGGCTGCAGTCGAAACATTAATCAGCCCTAATATCAGCAGAGACCATATAATAGACTCTGGTATCAGTCAGTCTTCACCTGTCTCCGGCTGACGTGACCTCGCTCAGCTACAAAACTATCTGGGCGATCGACCTGATAAACAAAATAGGTAATAGAACGATTATTGAACTATAAATGTATAATTTCATAGCAGGTTAATTTAGATGCATGCCAAGCTATAATTAACTGATACAGTTGGGCGTCAAATGATTTAGCCGTTAAACAAATTGTGCACTTAACTGTCGTCATAAAGGAAAGCTTTCCGCCCGCAAGCCCAGTTTTATTTCATCATTCTATACCTAAGAATAAATGGGGTGGGGGTGGGTGGGGTGGGGGTGTTTGTTTTTATAAAAAACCTTAACACTAACCCTTACCCTAAATCTAAACCACACCCTACTAAGACCCTAAACCTAACCCTAAAACCTCGAAATAATCCTAATAAACAGAAAACATTTCAAGCGGGGGTTACAGGCGAAACTCTTACCGTCATAAATACCTTTAGGTATGAAGTATGTGTGTTATCTTTTCATGTTATCAGATACAAAAGATCACCAATCACTCACAATCACATGATCCTGGTCTTCATCTTTGTGTTGACAGGTGCCCGGTAGGGACAAGGTTCCGTCTTAAAGCATTTCGAGCGCACCGAAATAAGCGCCGTGTAATAAAAGAACCGATCAAGAGAAGGTAACTCTACGAAGGCTAAGGCTCACACAAAGATGTGTTTGTGATCGCGTACCAAAACCTCATAGTTCGTATCCTTGAGTGACAGATGACCTGTATGATATTGATACCATATGACATTTATCGAGTGGCCAGACAAAATTACGTCAACACTTACATGTTACGAGATGAGTTGAGCTATTTGTCAAGAAACGACAAATGTTTTATCTTTCATGTAATTTCTTACTGATCTAAACTATCTGACTTCTGCTTGACAACGGTACAAGAATCTGTATCGAAACGTCGCACTCACGAAATAAAAGTTGTTATCCATAAAATTTGTTCTATACTGTACTTCCCAACTTCTAAAATGCCACTCAAAGAAGTGATCTGACTCCGGAAAACCACTCAAATATTCAGCAGACTGAAAGTAGTTTCCATATTTTCTCAAGATGATACAGTATACCACCACTTAATACGTAATAAAAACACATTGAAATTATTGTGAGGCATGAAACAATTAACGGTGTGAAACTTTAATGATTATTTAGGAATGAGACAATCAAACTTCCCGAGATGTTAAAGAACGCGAGAAATGATCTCAGAAAATGATCGTGTGGGAGATTATCTAATCAAATATTAGATATTAAAATATATGTACCACGTATGTATTGATATTAATATTAAAAAAATATAGGATGAATCTGTATGCGTTTTCAATGATATGATAATCAATGATGGATTTTAATTATTATCAAAGAAAGTTTTAAAAATGCCATAATTCAAAACAGGATGAATTCTGTCAAGTACTGTTCCTCGTTACAGGGAAAGGGCGGAGACATTTTCTTTCTCTTACTATATTTTCTTCTTCTTCTTTTTTTTTTTTTTGACAACTTCTGTCAATTTCATCTCTTCTCCATCCCTCCCCAACCACGCCCTAATGATATATGACAAGTCCCTTGAACAAGGGGGGTAGTTCTGTGGATATACAACTTCTTTATTACGATATATGACCCGTGAAAATCCGGGTTAGAATTGATCTTCAGTAACCCATTCTTGTGTTACTAAGAGGCGACTAACGGGATCGGTCAGGCTCGCTGACTTGGTTGAGCCACATGTCATCGTTTCCCAATTGCGTTGATCGCTGCTCATGCTGTTGATCACTGGATTGTGTGGACCAGACTCGATTTAACTACAGACTGCCGCTATATGCTGCAATATTGATGAGTGCGGCGTAAAACTAAATTCACGCACTTATTGCGATATATGCGCCGTTTCGGCGTAAATGCTATTATGCTAACATCGTTATCAAGCAAGTGTGAGTAACTGTTAGCATCTACAGCACAAGTCATATATCAATAGAACGTTCATCACCGCAGCGACCATTTTCTATATGGTGTCTGATCACACCAACGTCTAAATGCCGCTGTATTTAAAAGAAAGGTTATCAGTTCCTCAAGATGATCCTTATCTACTTCCAACATATCTTACACAGGGTATTTCAAGCTTAGAAATAAGAATCCCGTGTAAGCTAATCGGGGCAGCTAATTGGTGTGGATAATAATGACATGACCCCAGCGTCAAAGCGAAATCAACCTATCACGTTGAAAAGCGCGCATTTCGGTGTTTTACGCGTCAAAATTCCCGCCCTATAAATAGTACTGTCACGTGGGAGAAGGAAATCCTGAAGTTATTTTTAGAAATACTAACATCGAAACGAGGTTCTGAAGACTTCCTGTTTCAGCGCTTGACTATCACATTGAGAAATTGTGGTAAGTTTCCTGGGTTTGTTTATCTGTGATATGTTATATACGGAATACAATATATAGGGTAAGTTCTCTAGTAGCAAAATAACTTTAATGTGTTTGTTTATTGTGATTTGAGATCGAGAATAAGATATATCTATTCGTCAGTAAAAGCAAAATCTCCAACTTTGATTCTATGGCATCGTTGCTAGTGTCTTAGGAAACATGTTGAAAAGGTACAGACGGATCTTTGCGAATTAGCATAAACATTCCATCAGCATTGTCACATAGGAGAATGTCAGTGAGACACAAAATGCTAGATCTCCTCACCATCCCATTAAGAAACTGTACCTGATGATCAGTGATTTTAGTTTAGAAGGTGTCACTGTTTCTGAAGGGGCTACCACAGATATGTACCCCTAGTTTCTGGGAAAGAATTCCGCCCATAACCCCCGTTTTTTTATCATTCTATGCCTAAGATTTATAGTAAGAATAGATGTTTTTTTTATAGAAAGCCTACCCAAACCCTAACCCTAACCCTAACCCTAACCCTAAACCTAACATAATGCTAAATCTAAATCCTAAACCTAAACCCTACCCCCATCAGGGGTTACGGGTGGAACTCTTACCTGTTTCGGTATATATACAAATGTTTCTGTACGTTTCAGGTAATCGTAACATAATCAAAATCTGAATACATAAAGTACCCTAGGACGAGTCCATTCGGCATTGTGACGGTTTCTTGATCGGAAAAGTCATACTGTGGTATGAAATGCGTTTGATTGGGTTATATAAGACACGGGCATACACAGTAATGTATATTTACCACAAACGCAGTCAGGCATACAGTAACAACTACATACGGTTTGGGTTTGGGTTGCAGAATATGGACTCGTCCAACATTTAGGATACTCAGTACTTTTCTGTATTTCGACTTTGTTTACGGAACATCTCAGTATACAGAAACAGATATGGATTACATATCAGTACCTGTGCTGAAGCGTCAACTTCATCGTTATGCCACAAATGGTACAGATTCAATTGTTTTTTGCTTTATGACCACTTTTTTTTACATTGAAATTATAAATGATATTGAGAGCTGAAATGCAATCAGTGACAATAAGTATTTTGTCAATAGTGTTCAGTCAATTTGGGTTTGAGTTATGTCCTTTGTAACAGGTCCAACTGCACCTGTAATAGTGTACAGTGTACCATGTCAGGTGTTAAAACTCTCGAAAAAGTGGAAGAACAAGAACTGTTTTTTGTACATGTTCGGCCATGACTAATTCTGATGTGTTCTTGTTATTTAAAAGCATTTTGGCTTTAACTGAATCAAATTGCTTGTAGCTGATATGTATTTGTTAAATGGTAGTTTATGAACCTTTGTGCCCACATTCAGCTCATAACTTCTTGTATCAGCTTTAGGCTGACGTCTGTGAAGCAGTCTACAAATATGTTTCTACCTGTCACACCAGATGGGGGGCTCTGATTTGTGGGTGGAAATCATGATTTTTGAAAATTGCTGGTTTTGTTACTGGATGCTATTTGGAAAATAACCACTATCCGGGATCATTTGTTTGCATAAAATTGCAGCAAAAATAGAAAATACCGTAATTGACAACATTTAAAATGCCTTTTTATCAATTGCAGCGGGGCAGTAGGTTTGGGGCTTCAGTGAGCTCATTTGGTGCCATGAGTCAATTTGTGCGATAGCACAGCTGAGTGTGACAAGAAACTGGGCTACTGTCTGCAAGGACAGTGAGAAGCAATATCTGTAAGCATTTCTGAATCCTAATTGGTTACCTGTGAATGTGATCTATTGAATGTAGTTAAGATAAAAGGATGTATGTTATTAATGTTCTTTGCCTAAACAAACAAAAAGAAAGGGTGAAGCTCATCGGAAATACTGCTGATGGTTATATATTTTTTTTATACAGTCAACTGACACTTAAATTATTCAATCTGAATCTGGGTTTTTAACCTTACTTGTCCATACAAAATCAGTCTTTGAAGATATTAGATACCTCTCAGTCTGAGCTTTGTTTACTATACTACATCAATAATCTATGTGTGTTTTGTAATTTGTCGTGTTTTTGTATGCATGTTATCATCACACAGTGGCTACTTCAAGTTCTGTCCAGTTCCTTAGATCAAGCCCCATCTGGGAATGGTCAGATATGTACAATTTTGATGCTCCCTGGGATGAAAGCAAAATATTTAGATTTCCAATTTCTTGATGTACACTCTGAACATTTCCTGTGATCCTACATGTATTATTGATTGAACGTAGGTTTTGGAACAATACATTTAACATTGAATGATATATGTAACTTGAAACAGATTTATTCAAGAATTAATTAATAAGGCCAGACCAATTTTATTCTTGTTTGATGGATGTTTGTCGTCAGGAAACCTAAAGGCGGGAGGGAATGGGGCAGGAGGGAATGGGGGTTTTATCACCAATCTAAGCAAACACCCACATGAGTTTCCATGTTAACTCTTTTGGTTTGTTTATATCAACTAACAATAAGTTGAGTGAGTTTAGGTTTCACACTGATTTCAAGAGTATTTCACGTATGTCACAGTAACATTAGGATTTTATTTTTTGAGCATGGAATTTATTTTTCTTATTCTTGACAACTCTTGACCTACGGATCCTTAAAACAAGAAATAAAATTGGTCTGGCCTCAGTAAATGAAAAAATCAAATGAATACCAGAAGGAATCTGTTTGTCCAAGTCGCTATCCAACTTCACCTACACACACACATACAGGAGTTATAGGTATTTAACACCAGTTGAAATCATTCTATGTACTTTCAACCCACCTATATTGAACTTTTGTCCAAAATATTTTGAAACCAATTATTCAAAATTTGGGATGTCTACCAAGCTATTTTACATGAAATCTCAACGTGTTACAAGTGGGAGCAACCCAACCAACAGTGTTTATGATTGGAGCATCGTGTGAAGAAATCAATGGGAAGCAAAGATAATTTGGTAAATCTTTACAACCTCACTCATACTGATTACCATGGTTACTAGAAATTGCACAAACGTTGAACTCCGTCTGTGCCACAACCACAACTGAAAATTTCTCAGATGCCATGAGCAAGGAAATGATGTGAGACTTTGAAGTGCAAGTTTCCCAAAGGAAATGGAGGATGTGTAATACATATCTATGTTAGCATTGTAATCATGGTAATAGGAAACTGTATTTTGGTCACATTGTATCCATGTGTATATCTATTTCATATCAACAGATTCTATATACTGTCAAAAGTCATCCTTCCAAATTAACAGTTTGTCGTCAGTGATAAGTAATGTATTGAGTGTAAAACAGTCACCCAACCATCTTTAGTGGCAGAGACACTGGTCGTTGGATTGTGGCATAATGGTAACCAATGACATCACAGTGGTCCGCAAATTACTGAGTGTGATACAGCTTCATTGTAACAGTATCTTGGAGGAGCTATCCCTTGAGCTAGTTCTGGAAGACAATAGCTGTAGGAGTTTAGGTGTTCATTTCATATATCACATGGCAGCATATCTTTCAGCTGATTATGACACATGGTGGCATGTATTTCAGGTGTTTATGACACATGGTGGTATGTATTTCAGGTGTTTATGACACATGGTGGTATGTATTTCAGGTGTTTATGACACATGGTAGTATGTATTTCAGGTGTTTATGACACATTGTGGCATGTATTTCAGCTGTTTATAACACATGGTGGCATGTATTTCAGCTGTTTATGACACATGGTGGCATGTATTTAAGCTGTTATGACGCATGGTGGTATGTATTTCAGGTGTTTATAACACATGGTGGCATATATTTCAGGTGTTTATAACACATGGTGGCATATATTTCAGGTGTTTATGGCACATGGTGGCATGTATTTCAGGTGTTTATGACACATGGTGGCATATATTTCAGCTGTTTATAACACATGGTGGCATATATTTCAGGTGTTTATGGCACATGGTGGCATGTATTTCAGGTGTTTATGACACATGGTGGCATATATTTCAGCTGTTTATAACACATGGCATATATTTCAGCTGTTTATGGCACATGGTGGCATGTATTTCAGGTGTTAATAACACATGGTGGCATGTATTTCAGCTGTTTATAACACATGGCATGTATTTCAGCTGTTTATAATACATGGTAGCATATATTTCAGGTGTTAATAACACATGGTGGCATGTATTTCAGCTGTTAATAGCACATGTCGGCATGTATTTCAGGTGGTGAAGTGTCTGGCATGACACAGCCTGTGAAGAAGGGAAGCTGGAGGGAAGTTAAAACACTTGGGTCAGGTGGTTTTGGGACGGTGGTGCTATGGGAGAATGAGGTGAGTATGTGTATTCCTTGTAATTGAAACTGTGAAATGTTATAGATGTACACAACTGGGTATAATCCCACCGTGACATCAGCAGTATGAACCTGTGCTGCTGTTTTTTATTGCCTTTAAGATAAATTTGTAGAATTCTGATTGGTCAGTAGCCAAAGCATACGAAACCATGTAGGCGGATTTACCAGGGTGTACAAACCCTACACCTCGGCAAATCTGTCACGTGACACAATACACTAGCTGTACAGATGACCTTGACCATACAATGAATGTGGCTGCCAACGGCTGATCGCTTCGAAATTTTAGAGTTGTTGTATACAATTATGAATATGAACACAGTAATAAAATTGTTGCCATAATTTCTGATTTGTTTATGTCAATAAAAATATCCAAAGAATCAAATGTTTCTGTATTTCACATGCCATTTAACAAAAACCTCAAATACGCTCATTTTGGCACGAACTAAGCCATCACGATTTATCTCCCTTTATGAGCGTGACCATTCACTGCTTAGTGAAACATACAATTTAAAGTTTCTTGTCGTAAAAAATGAGATAAGGGTAAAAAAAATTGTCTTAGCGTTTTGAAAGGGTGTTAGGGACTGTAAGACCCTTGTAAATTCCGTACTTCCTGAGGCGCAGGGTCGTACACCTTTTCAAAACACTGTGTAACAAATATTATCTTATGACCATTGGACTGTCAACTAAGGCTGAGGTTTAAAATGTTTTTACCTTATCTACAGAACACATCAATATCAAGTAGTTTCTGGATCATAATGCCCAGCTCAGAACACAGCAAGTCAAGACAAATACTGTTAAAAGTTTGGATTTTTTTACCATGCCTAGTGCCAGGGAACACAAAACAAATAGAGTTGATAGATGTTTATACCATACAAAGCAAATAGGGTTTACAGGATTCAGTTTTATGTCAGGAACTACAGAAGACAAAACAAATGTTGTTTACTCAAGTTTACACCAGCAGTTCAAAGAATCAAAAGACTTAATCTATGTATGTTTGTCTGTTAGTTTACGTCCAGCCAACAAGATTTATTTGTAACACCAATACCTGTGAACCAAGAAATAGAAGTATGGCGGATAGCTCCATATGCCGTGGTTACAGATAATTACAGATGCCGTTATTACGGATAGCTCCATATGCCGTGGTTACAGATAATTACAGATGCCGTTATTACGGATAGCTCCATATGCCGTGGTAAAAGATAATTACAGATGCCGTTATTACGGATAGCTCCATATGCCGTGGTTACAGATAATTACAGATGCCGTTATTACGGTTAGCTCCATATGCCGTGGTTACAGATAATTACAGATGCCGTTGTTACAGATCGTGCCTGTCATCTTACATCTGGTTATGTTAAGAATATTAGAAACTGAAACAACTTTAAAGAATTTAAAGGGTTTGAAATACTCATTATGCCCATGTGTCTATAACCCCCAAAACATTTGGACTGTGCCGCTCATTCAAGGTTATGCAGGTCACAACTCCAGTATCAGCCACACTTCTGTGGAATGGATAGTGTTATCAATGTGATAAATCAGTTCGGTAAACTTGATGTCACATTTGCGATAAATACCAACAGGGTCAGGGAGCAGACTTAATCTATATACCTTGATACAAAGTCAATAGTTCATTCAGCAGGCAGTGAACGTGCCCAATAATAAGTTAGAGATAGGTATTTGATGTGTGTGTGATGATGTCCACAAACATTGCTGGAAATCAGATGGCACGTTATGCTCAATCAGATGGTATACTCACCTACAATGTCTAATAATAATAATAAGTGCATTTATATTGCGCTATTTTCCATCCGTTGTGGTTGCTCAAAGCGCAGGTATAAAGTTACTTCATTTTGCATTATTGTAAGGATGCTTTAGCCTGGTCTGTTTCTAATCTAATTCAGACATTAGGTATATAAATATGTATTGTGATCCTATTTGTATTCCTAGTGTATGATGTTAGGATGTTGCAACAAACTCAGCTAAAAGACTTAGGTACTTTGAGGTAGCCAAGTGGTTAAAATGTTTGTTTGTGAAACCTATTTCTGGTGTCCCCCTCCATGATGTTAGTTATCAGTCTTGTTATCAATATCTAATCATTATACCTTTAATATGACCACTAGTAAACTTCAGACTTCCTTCTGTAATCACAAGACCGCCTCCGTGGTGTAGTGGTTAGAGTGTCTGCCCGGGAGAGCGGAAGGCCGCGGGTTCAATCCCCGACCGTGTCATACCAAAAGACGTTAAAATATGGTGCTTGTTGGTCCCTGCCTGGCGCTCGGCATTAATGGGTACAACAAGGACTGGTCGGCTCGGAGTCAGTATACTGTGTCTGAGTGGGGTATTCATGCTTCACTGCGGCATGGTATCTCAGTGAGCTAGCACTATCAAACCAGCTTAAGTCTTGTCTAGTACAAGCAGCCGCACATACACATACACACGCATGCACGTCGTCATATGAGCGAAATATTCTCAAACACGACGTTAAACCCAATTTCACCTCACCTCACCTGTAATCACAAGACCGCCTCCATGGTGTAGTGGTTAGAGCGTCCGCCTCACCTTACCTCACCTGTAATCACAAGTTTATTGTTTTTGTGTTCCCTGATGAAAGGTTGTGATTGAAAAAACTGAATTTATGCAGTATGTATTTTAACATTCTTAATATTTTGGTTGCCTGTTTCAGACATGTTTATTTACCTGCCTCTGTCATAGATTGTATGTGTATCTAAGTGGAGCTCTATACAACACACACATATACTATAGTATGTTTGCAGTAAAAACGTACCGATAAATTTCACTTTTAACAAAAAAAAGTAAATCAAATAAAGTGAAATTAAGATTGCTAATCCTCGTAATTTTACCTTACCAAGTGAACATTTAAATCTCAGAATTATATTCAACTTAGGATAAAAGTTGTTTAACAAACGATCATAGATTCAAATCACTATTATTTTTCCTTACCCTGACTCATGATCTTTTGCTTATCTCCCTTTCCCTTTCGAATGGTAGTGGAACACTTGAATCCCTTGAAAGGGGTAAACACAGTAGTTAGAACACTGAAACAAATGCACATGCGGTATGTGATGAGCGTTAACTTAGACCAACCCTACTTGTTCTTGGTGTTTCATTTAATGTGCATACCACAAACCGGCTTTCTGACCCACTGCTGTCTTTTCACTGGATTGTGTGGTCCAGACTCCAGAATTATTTACAGACCGCCACCATATAGCTGGAATATTGCGGAGTGCAGCTTAAAACTCACTCACTCACTCCACCCAACACTTCCAACTCACTCACTCACTCACAATGTGTGAAGCCCATTTCTGGTGTCCCCTGCCGTGATGTTGCTGGAATATTGCTAAAAGCAGCGTAAAACCAAACTCACTCAGTCACTCACTCACTCACTCACTCACTCACTCACTCACTCACTCACTCACTCACACTTTATTATAAACACAACAAGAGTCTCAAGTCTGTGTTCTGTTTTTCCCCTTTAATGAAGCAACTTGATCTGATGGTCATTGACATAATTTGCAAACAGAAAACATTATTCAGTAGGAAAATAAAATTGTACATGTTTTGCAATATATTGCAATGCATATTGCAATATTCATGCTAATATCGCAATTTATCGCAATGCAAGGGTTTGGCAAGACCTAACACCATGAGTAAGACAGTTAGGTTGTATTAATTAATATTCAGTTACTACAAAAAAATACAATGTGGTCTCTCAGTCTCTGTTCAAATATCAAGAGATCATTGTATCATATGCTAGGATTGGATATTATGAACATATTATGTTGTATTGTGCCCTCACTACTCAGGTTTATATAACCTGAGGCTCTGTATCTGTTGCACTCCAGTCTTAGCACAACAATAATCTTGTTTCTTGTTTGGACTTGTTTTTGTTTTGGATTTGCCATATTGAAAAGGGATGTAAAATGCTAAATACTGAACTTTAATTACTAGGAGAATGGAGAACAAATCGCCTTGAAGCGATGTCGGGTACAGAACGAAATGTCACCCAAGCATCGGCAACGATGGAAGATGGAGGTCGACATCATGAAACGACTGTGTCATGATAATGTGATCGCTGCCCGGGAGGTCCCTCCACGACTTGATGTCACAGGTGATGAGGTCCCTCTCTTGGCCATGGAATACTGCGCTGGGGGAGACCTTAGAAGGGTAGGTAACTCTGTCAACATTCTCATTTTTATTGATTGAATAATCGCAGCAGTTTTAAACTGCATTTATTGTTCTTAACCACATCTGAGCATGTGCAGATTTCAGCATCAAAACTGGTCACAAGATCAAGTAAAAGTTGTAAATAGGAACAGGCTTTAAATCACAATCACCAATAACCTAGAAGGGGAGATAATTCACTGGATACATGAGGATTTGACCATTTTACTGAACATCATAGCTAATGTTAAAGTATACTATAGCTTAACTAAGGATTATATGATTATGTTAAGTGGTGTTTGTTTTTCTGATATTTCTATTCCTTCAAGATGATTTTATGAACAAAAATCTGGTTGAGAAAACATCCTGTTATTGGGATATCCTTCATCCAACAGGTGCTGAACAAACCTGAAAACTGTTGTGGGATGCGAGAGTACGACACTCGATGCTTGGTGCGAGACATTGCACAGGCTGTGGAGTACCTCCATGAGAACAGGATCATCCACCGGGACCTCAAACCTGAGAATATTGTACTGCAGCAAGTGGAGGAGAGGGTAGGAATCAAACTATATTGTTATATCATTACTGTTTCCTTTGCTTGATCTTTGGCTGTACTATTCCAAGAACCAGTCACATGCATACTTGGAACCTATCCCTATAATGATTCCAGGGTTGACTGGTCACCAGAAACCTATACTGGTCAGATTTGCTGCCTTGGCTAATGGAGATCCAGTGGTGTGAATCAATGCTCAGCTCCTGTTGACTGCCTTATGTTTGGCGGACAGGTTTTAACAAACCTCCTTGAAATACCTGTAATATTGGTGACTGTGATGTTGGATGACACGGATTCACTGGAGGCAAATAGCTTCAAGTTAGGGACAAAGGAAATCTCTACCAACATTGGTAAACTGTTCTTGGGAATTGTATGCAAATAACATTTATACTGGAATCATGTGAGCTCATGTTGTGTTTTGTGTTTCAGATTGTATATAAGCTGATAGACTTGGGCTATGCCAAAGAGCTTGATCAGGGAAGTGTGTGCACCTCATTCGTTGGAACTCTGCAGTACCTTGTGAGAATCTTTTGGATTCATTATTATTTTCATCTTACACAATATACAAAAGCTTGCCCTGAATGCTTATTCCAAGAGTGGTAGTTCTTCTGTATCATTCCCTACTTGTCAGGTGTCTGCCCTAGAACTGACTCATGCAAATGTTCTGTTAAACATGACTGCTATAATGTTTGACAAGAATTATTTTGAGTGAAAATTAAATCAAATTTGTGTCTTCAGAGGCCCAGATAAGCTGCATATCCAGGTAAAATAGGCATAGAAAATTTCCAATTACGCATTGAAAAATAATTGTAGCGTACCAAATACGCATTTAAAATGTTAGATACACAAAAAGTTTAAAACAAATGCGTACGGAATATATTTATAAAAATCGCTTGTGTAATGAAAAAGACATTGAATGCTATCAAGTTGTACTGTTAGTATAGGACTAGTGTTGTACTGTCAGTATTGGATGAGTGATTTTTTTATGAAATCATTTTCATTATATTTAAGTTGGTTTTGATTAGGTATGATATAAGGCAGGACATACCTGGTTAGTAAACTTACTCAATGACATAATACTTAGGTGAGTAAAATGACTGAAATACGCACATATGTGAAAGCAGTGGGTAACGGAAAATGAAATACCCACTCAACATTCACAATACCCACTCCAAAAAATTACAGTGGGTACAGTACCCACATGAGCTAAATCTTATCTGGAGCTCTGGTCTTTCTGTTTCCGGTTAAATCCTGTTATATACTGATGACCAGGATATTTGCTCACGCTATCAACCACTAGGTTCAAGGTTGAAACAGCTGACCGCTCTATGTCCTCAGGATATTCTAACAGTCTGCTGTGACTGCTCCTACCTTAATCACAGACATCTTTAGAATCTGTAGTCAGTTTATCAGAACTCGACTTTAGGGCAATCTCATGCAGTTAAAGTATAAAATAATAAACTTAATGTGTTTAGATGTGATAAAGAAATGTTCACATCTTGACACACATGAAAGAAGTCTATTGTTTGATTTCTGGTATCTCCTGCCATGATTTTGCTGGACTATTGCTGAAAGAAGCGTACAATTATAGTTGCCCACTCCCATTGATTTCCTAGTTCCCACTAAGGCCAGTACACTGGGGTTTGTTTGCCAGAAAGCCTGCTGAGTACAGGCAATACTACTATGTCAGTGTCTGATAGACAACTGCTGTCATCCAGTTATTTCTTCCAGAATAATCACCACTGATCCTGAACATTCAAATCAACCAAAGGAAAAAAACTGACTTTGACATTTATTCATGGTTGGAACAAATTTGTCAGTGGTATGTGGCATGTCTTCTATGGATGGTTTCCTCCCTTAGTTGTGCAGGGTAGGCTGATTGTGGTTTTACATCCCAAATTCCAATGTTTTCATCACTACTTGTGTCACTCTGAGTTGGCCTCCCAAGCTTGGTTCCCATGCTGCAGTACTGTTCAAAACAGAAATAAACCCAGTTCACTCACTCACTCACTGATTGTATCTTCCCCAGGCCCCGGAGCTTTTCGCATCCCAGAGATATACGTGCACTGTGGACTACTGGTCATTTGGAACAGTTGTGTTTGAATGTATTGTGGGATTCCGGCCTTTCCTGCCCACTGTGCCTCCAGTCAGATGGTGAGTAGGGTCACGGGGGTTCCATTTGGGATCAAGATCCAACGCTGTCTAAAGCACATATACAGTGTTCACTGAGAATGTCTGTAATGACATTAAGACACCAAGTATATACGGTCAAGGCCGTCATTTTGTTGCCTGATAGACTAGAGATCAACATGTAACAGCCATTTTTAGCTCTCATCAATAGAACTAGAACCTTGAAAATTGTTGAGAGTTTATATCTATGCAGTGGATTGGTAGTTATCAAACAGGGAAGAAGTTCAGAGTTTGAAGGATGCAGAAATGTGTGTCCAGTATGTTTACATGTCTGGATTGAATCCAAAGAACAAAAATATCTTGTACCCTGGGGACGTGCCAAAATAACCACTAAACCAAATTCTTGACTAGAAATATACAGGTCCTGGATGTAAAATGGTCATGAAATCGTACAGAATACCTAATAATTTTGTTGCTTTATGGGATGCTCATATTTCGTGTAAAATCCCATGAAATTAATGATTAGGGTTCCACTAGTCTCCATTTTTTCTAGGTTTTGGTTCTACCATATATTGTTTTGGAACAATATGCATACTGACTTAATAATCATCCTTATCATAGATTCGTAGTACCTCAGTGATTGACTGTGTCAGATTGTTGATTGACCTGAATCTATTCCTCTTATAAAAGCACAGCATTTATGACTGTTGCAGGGCCCAGTTTACTTAGGACTATTAATTATTAGGGTCCCCATTTTTTGTAGGTTTAGGTTAAACTATTAAATGTTTTGGAATAATATGCATACCATTTATAACTGTTGCAGGACCCAGTGTACTTCAAACTAGGATGAATACGTTGTGAACAGGATAACACATCTGTCCAGATGGTTAAGTGATAAATGTTTTAGATTATGTTATGGTACATATCTCGTGAATATTGGTACAGCACCAGCAGTTGAGGGGTTGATGTGTTGTGAACATGTGTATCTTGCTGCAGGCACAAGGAGGTGTGTCAGAAGTCGCCAGAAGACATCTGTGCCGAGATGACCAACACAGGAGAGGTGAAGTTCCACAAGAGGCTTCCAGCTCCCAACCATCTATCCAGGTAACAACTCATTGTTGTCCAATCACTGCGGGTAAAATGTAACGGTGTGGAATCAGGAAGAACAATCGCCTCTCTTCAACCTCCCCTGCACAACCCTGGGAATAACTGTGTATTTGTCCTCTGGTCCTCCTCCTCTCCAGGCCCCAGGTCGTCCTCTTCCTCTACAGGTCCCTGGTCCTCCTCCTCTACAGGTCCAGGCCCCAGGTCGTCCTCTTCCTCTACAGGTCCCTGGTCCTCCTCCTCTACAGGTCCAGGCCCCAGGTCGTCCTCTTCCTCTACAGGTCCCTGGTCATCCTCCTCTACAGGTCCAGGACCCAGGTTGTCCTCCTCCTCTACAGGTCCCTGGTCCTCCTCCTCTACAGGTCCAGGACCCAGGTCCTCCCTTCCTCCTATAGGTCCCCTGGTCCTCCTCCTCTCTCCAGGTCCCAGGTTGTCTTCCTCCTCTACAGTCCCAAGTTGTCCTCCTCCTCTACAGGTCCCAAGTTGTCCTCCTCCTCTACAGGTCCAGACCCACGGTCGCCCTCTTCCTCCTCTACAGGTCCCTGGTCCTCCTCCTCTACAGGTCCAGACCCAGGTCGCCCCTCTTCCTCTACAGGTCCCTGGTCCAATTCCTCCTCTCTACAGGTCCAGGACCCAGGTTGTCCTCCTCCTCTACAGGTCCCTGGTCGCCCTCCTCTACACGCTCAGACCCCAGGTCGCCCTTCTTCCTCTACAGGTCCCTGGTCCTCCTCCTCTACAGGTCCAGACCCCAGGTCATCTCTCTACAGGTCCCTTCGACCTCCTCTACAGGTCCAGGACCCAGGTTGTCCCTCCTCCCTCTACATGTCCCTGGTCCTCCTCTTCTACAGGTCCAGGACCCAGGTTGTCCTCTTCCTCCTCTATAGGTCCCTGGTCCTCCTCAACAGGTCCAGACCCCAGGTCATCCTCTTCCTCTACAGGTCCCTGGTCCTCCTCCTCTACAGGTCCAGGCCCCAGGTCGTCCTCTTCCTCTATAGGTCCCTGGTCCTCATCCTCTCCAGGTCCCAGGTTGTCCTCCTCCTCTACAGGTCCCTGGTCCTCCTCCTCTACAGGTCCAGACCCCAGGTCGTCCTCTTCTTCTACAGGTCCCTGGTCATCCCCTATATGTCCCTGGTCCTCGTTTACAGGTCCCAGTCTTCTAAAGGATGAATGATCCTAGTTTTCTACAGATCCCAGGTCTTCCTCTTCTACAGATCCCAAGTCCTCTTCTTCTACAGATCCCAGGTCTTCCTTCACTACAAGTTGCTAGTCCTCTTCCTCCACAGGTCCTTTGTCCTCCTCTTCTAAATGTCTCAAGTCCTCATCCTCAACAGGTGTCAGTTCCCCCTTCTTCAATAGATTGGATCCATCCCAATTTACAGTATGTGATCTCGACTACCAGGTATCTGACTTCCATCTAAGTGGAAGCGGCATTGGCTGGATGGATTAGATCGCTGACTTTGTGTGCTGATGATTAGGTGGACTGGATTGGACCACCTCCTATCATGTAAATGTCAAAAGGAACGGTGCAGTGAAAAGTTTGGTTCCGATTTTCAAATTTTCAAATTTTGAATTTTAAATAAACAAAGCGAACTTTTCTTCAACCAGTAACTTGAACACATTTGAATGCATTGTTTAGAAAACGACAACATATGTTTGAAGTGAGATATTGTCTCCATCAGGACAATGCGAGGTTACTTTGAGCAGTGGCTCAGGAAGATGTTACGCTGGGATGCGAAGGCAAGAGGAGGTGGTATCACGCCGGACAAGAGACCCAAGTGTTTCAACATGCTGCAGCATGCGCTGGACTTGAAGGTCAGTTTAGACCTGATTTGATCAGGCTGATTGTGATAAGGATATGATCTTGCTCAACATCCTGTATTTCTGTAACACTTCCTGTATTTCTGTCACATGTCCTGTATTGAATGAATGAATGAATGTATGATAATTGATTTGTATAGCGATGGTTTCCAGATTAAACATGACTGCTTAACCTAGCTTGATGAAGTGAGAGAAAAAAAGATAAGTCTTCAGATGAATTAGAAAAGAGTTTTTTGTTGGACAATTTCTGATTCCTAGTGGTAGAGGATTCCACAATTTTGGAGCTGCAAAGCGTAGAGCCACTTCACCCATCGTATTGTCGTCACTCATCCTATATTTCAGTCACACATCTCTATTTCAGTCACACATCTGTAATTTTTCCTTATCCCGACTCATGCTTAATTGCTTGTCTCCTTCTTCTTGCGAATGATAGTGGAACACTTTAATCCCCTTTTGAAGCTTCCTTTAAAAAGCGGACGAAAATCACTCACCCAGTGTTATCTCCCTTCAGCTGTTTTAAGGGAAAACTGCGTCCACATGGCATCACATGTTTTCACTCTCTCCTTCTTCTCCCCAGAGGACGGTTGTAAGAGCCCCTGGGTCCCCTATATACGGCGCTATATCCTTTTATATTTAGCCCCTTTAGCTCATCAAGATCCCAGTCAACTCAGACTGCAGCTAGACTTCACAATCAGGCTACTCACTCAACTAGGATGGCTAGTAAATCTCCCCTCAAGTCGGAACTAGGACCCACACAGGATCTTCAATTCCTAGGAATACGGCTCATCACATCGCAGAATCAGATAGTCGTCCCAGAGGAGCATTGGGTGAAGATACAACAAATGATATCTCAAGCACTACTCTCTCTGTTAACACTACTAAGTTGGCAGAGCCTACTTGGTCTCCTCCACGTCAGCACAAGACATGACATGCAGAGGAAGGCTACAACTGCGCTTCACTACAAGTGTTTGTGAACGCTCATCTAGACAGTCTGGACTCCTTCGACTACCGGAAGGACTGAAACCATATCTCCTATGGTGGACTCCAGAAGTCGATTGTTTGGAGGAGGAACCTACTCATCAGAGCCGAGAACAACACTCATCTCTACGTAGATGCTTCACTTCAAGGATGGGGAGCCCACCTCGACAAATGAAGTGGCAGCAGGGAAATGGTCAAATCAGGAGCAAAGTCAGCACATCAACATGCTCGAGATGAAGCAGTAATAAATGCCTTACTACACTGGTCCAGCATACTAAGGAACGCGCTGGCTGATGATCCATACGGACAACTCCACAGTGGCGCTTCTACATCAACAAATAAGGATCAACAAGGTCAAGGAATCTTCTAGACCTCAGCTTTCATCTGTTCAGTATAATAGACGATGAAGGGTTGCTTCTCCTCTTGATGCAGCATCAAGACATGGAGTCGTATAAATCCACACTTAATGTCAGGAGAAGTGGTTCCAGAGAAATCTGACATGTTGTGGTCCCCCCAACTTATCAGAGGAAGCTGGAAGGAAGGATCAGTATAATACTTTAAGAAGTTCCCACAGGGGGTATGCAGGGCGTAAATCAGCATGGAATCCAGAGTGGCTTGACCCACCACCTGTTCCGCTGGATTCTACAAACAATTAAGCATGAGTCAGGATAAGGAAAAATATGTAATATTTTTATTAAAATTGATATTTTATACTTATCCTGACTCATGAGGTAAGTTCCTCCCAACCTCCCCTCATGGCACTCTGGATTCCCTGTAATCCAGGTGTCGGGCGATATAATCTCGGAGAGAGTGAAAACATGTGGGGTCATATGGACGCGAAGTTTCCACCAAAACAGCTAAAGGGAGATAACACTGGGTGAGTGATTTCACGTCCGCTTTTTTGAAGGAGCTTCAAAAGGGATTCAAGTGTTCCACTATCATTCGCAAGAAGAAGGAGACAAGCAATTAAGCATGAGTCAGGATAAGTATAAAATATCAATTTTAATAAAAAATTACATTTTCTGTCACCCTACCATAACACATTCTGTATTTCTCCAACAGACCATGCACATCCTGTATTTCTGTCACAGATAGTGCACAATTCAGTATTTCTGTCACTCAACCATCACACTTCCTGTATTTCTGTCACTCAACCATCACACTTCCTGTATTTCTGTCACTAAACCTCCACACTTCCTGTATTTCTGTCACTCAACCATCATACTTCTGTATAAGAAAACATGTTTAACAAGTTAACAATGATGAGGAAAGAATATGTAATAAAACATGAGGGCAGTGATACACTAAAACAACATGGTAATAGATTTGGTGGGATATAGAAATACAAACACGAGGGGTCAGTGATACACTAAAACAACATGGTAATAGATTTGGTGGGATATAGAATACAACCACGGGGGGTCAGTGATACACTAAAACAACATGGTAATAGATGGGGTGGGATATAGTACAAACATGGGGGCAGTGATACACTAAAACAACATGGTAATAGATGGTGGTATATAATACAACAAACACGGGGGTCAGTGATACACTAAAACAACATGGTAATAGATGGTGGTATATAGAATACAACCACGGGAGGTCAGTGATACACTAAAACAACATGGTAATAGATGGGGTATAGAATACAACCACATGAGGTAAGTGATACACTAAAACAACATGGTAATAGATGGGGTATAGAATACAACCACATGAGGTAAGTGATACACTAAAACAACATGGTAATAGATGGGGTATAGAATACAACCACATGAGGTAAGTGATACACTAAAACAACATGGTAATAGATGGGGTATAGAATACAACCACATGGAGGTCAGTGATACACTAAAACAACATGGTAATAGATGGGGTATAGAATACAACCACATTTGAGGTCAGTGATACACTAAAACAACATGGTAATAGATGGGGTGGGATAGAATACAACCATGGGGAGGTCAGTGATACACTAAAACAACATGGTAATAGATGGGGTATAGAATACAACCACGGGAGGGTAAGTGATACACTAAAACAACATGGTAATAGATGGGGTATAGAATACAACCACAGGAGGTCAGTGATACACTAAAACAACATGGTAATAGATGGGGTATATAGAATACAACCACGGGAGGTCAGTGATACACTAAAACAACATGGTAATAGATGTGGTATAGAATACAACCACATGAGGTCAGTGATACACTAAAACAACATGGTAATAGATGGGGTATAGAATACAACCACGGGAGGTCAGTGATACACTAAAACAACATGGTAATAGATGGGGTATAGAATACAACCACGGGAGGTCAGTGATACACTAAAACAACATGGTAATAGATGTGGTATAGACTACAACCACGGGATGTGGAGGTAAGTGATACACTAAAACAACATGGTAATAGATGGGGTATAGAATACAACCACGGGAGGTCAGTGATACACTAAAACAACATGGTAATAGATGTGGTATAGAATACAACCACGGGAGGTCAGTGATACACTAAAACAACATGGTAATAGATGGGGTATAGAATACAACCACATGAGGTCAGTGATACACTAAAACAACATGGTAATAGATGGGGTATAGAATACAACCACATGAGGTAAGTGATACACTAAAACAACATGGTAATAGATGGGGTATAGAATACAACCACGGGAGGTCAGTGATACACTAAAACAACATGGTAATAGATTTGGGGTATAGAATACAACCACGGGAGGTCAGTGATACACTAAAACAACATGGTAATAGATGGGGTATAGAATACAACCACGGGGAGGTCAGTGATACACTAAAACAACATGGTAATAGATGGGGTATAGAATACAACCACGGGAGGTCAGTGATACACTAAAACAACATGGTAATAGATGGTGGGATATAGAATACAACCACGGGAGGCCAGTGATACACTAAAACAACATGGTAATAGATACTCATCCTGTATTTCTGTCACACAACCTGTATTGTCACTCATCCTGTATTTCTGTCACACAACCTGTATTGTCACTCATCCTGTATTTCTGTCACACAACCTGTATTGTCACTCATCCTGTATTTCTGTCACACAACCTGTATTGTCACTCATCCTGTATTTCTGTCACACAACCTGTATTGTCACTCATCCTGTATTTCTGTCACACAACCTGTATTGTCACTCATCCTGTATTTCTGTCACACAACCTGTATTTCTCTCATCCTGTATTTCTGTCACTCATCCTGTATTTCTGTCACACAACCTGTATTGTCACTCATCCTGTATTTCTGTCACACAACCTGTATTGTCACTCATCCTGTATTTCTGTCAACCTGTATTGTCACTCATCCTGTATTGTCACTCATCCTGTATTTCTGTCACACAACCTGTATTGTCACTCATCCTGTATTTCTGTCACACAACCTGTATGGTCACTCATCCTGTATTTCTGTCACTCATCCTGTATTTCTGTCACACAACCTGTATTGTCACTCATCCTGTATTTCTGTCACACAACCTGTATTGTCACTCATCCTGTATTTCTGTCACACAACCTGTATTGTCACTCATCCTGTATTTCTGTCACACAACCTGTATTGTCACTCATCCTGTATTTCTGTCACACAACCTGTATTGTCACTCATCCTGTATTTCTGTCACACAACCTGTATTGTCACTCATCCTGTATTTCTGTCACACAACCTGTATGGTCACTCATCCTGTATTTCTGTCACTCATCCTGTATTTCTGTCACACAACCTGTATTGTCACTCATCCTGTATTTCTGTCACACAACCTGTATGGTCACTCATCCTGTATTTCTGTCACATCCTGTATTTCTGTCACACAACCTGTATTGTCACTCATCCTGTATTTCTGTCACACAACCTGTATTGTCACTCATCCTGTATTTCTGTCACACAACCTGTATTGTCACTCATCCTGTATTTCTGTCACACAACCTGTATTGTCACTCATCCTGTATTTCTGTCACACAACCTGTATTGTCACTCATCCTGTATTTCTGTCACACAACCTGTATTGTCACTCATCCTGTATTTCTGTCACTCATCCTGTATTTCTGTCACACAACCTGTATTGTCACTCATCCTGTATTTCTGTCACACAACCTGTATTGTCACTCATCCTGTATTTCTGTCACACAACCTGTATTGTCACTCATCCTGTATTTCTGTCCTGTATGGTCAACCCTGTATTGTCACTCATCCTGTATTTCTGTCACACAACCTGTATTGTCACTCATCCTGTATTTCTGTCACACAACCTGTATTGTCACTCATCCTGTATTTCTGTCACACAACCTGTATTGTCACTCATCCTGTATTTCTGTCACACAACCTGTATTGTCACTCATCCTGTATTTCTGTCACACAACCTGTATTGTCACTCATCCTGTATTTCTGTCACACAACCTGTATTGTCACTCATCCTGTATTTCTGTCACACAACCTGTATTGTCACTCATCCTGTATTTCTGTCACACAACCTGTATTGTCACTCATCCTGTATTTCTGTCACACAACCTGTATTGTCACCACTCATCCTGTATTTCTGTCACACAACCTGTATTGTCACTCATCCTGTATTTCTGTCACACAACCTGTATTGTCACTCATCCTGTATTTCTGTCACTCATCCTGTATTTCTGTCACACAACCTGTATTGTCACTCATCCTGTATTTCTGTCACACATCCTGTATTTCTGTCACTCATCCTGTATTTCTGTCACACAACCTGTATTGTCACACATCCTGTATTTCTGTCACACAACCTGTATTGTCACTCATCCTGTATTTTTGTCACACAACCTGTATGGTCACTCATCCTGTATTTCTGTCACTCATCCTGTATTTCTGTCACTCATCCTGTATTTCTGTCACACAACCTGTATTGTCACTCATCCTGTATTTCTGTCACTCATCCTGTATTTCTGTCACACAACCTGTATTGTCACTCATCCTGTATTTCTGTCACACAACCTGTATTGTCACTCATCCTGTATTTCTGTCACTCATCCTGTATTTCTGTCACTCATCCTGTATTTCTGTCACACAACCTGTATTGTCACTCATCCTGTATTTCTGGCACACAACCTGTATTGTCACTCATCCTGTATTTCTGTCACACAACCTGTATTGTCACTCATCCTGTATTTCTGTCACTCATCCTGTATTTCTGTCACTCATCCTGTATTTCTGTCACACAACCTGTATTGTCACTCATCCTGTATTTCTGTCACACAACCTGTATTGTCACTCATCCTGTATTTCTGTCACACAACCTGTATTGTCACTCATCCTGTATTTCTGTCACACAACCTGTATTGTCACTCATCCTGTATTTCTGTCACACAACCTGTATTGTCACTCATCCTGTATTTCTGTCACACAACCTGTATTGTCACTCATCCTGTATTTCTGTGACAGATCGTGCACATCCTGTATGTGGAGGCTAGAACCAACTGATCACATACCCTGTGCCAGAGGAGCACACGATGCAGAACCTGCAGCTGATCATAGAGCAGGAGACGAAGATCCCAGTGGCGGAGCAGGACATCCTCCTGGCCAGCGGCATCCCTCCGGACCCCAGTGCCCCGGCATACCAGTGCTGGACAGAACCAGTGCGTCTCTACCACTCAGCTTGTACAAGTAGCCAAGCTGAGAGGCACAATAAATGATTATTTTGATCAAGTCTAATAACAAGTACAGTTGACAGCCTGGCATCTTTCTTTCATGAATAGACACTTCAACTAAATATTGTGAAACATTGAACTCTTCTCAATGCTGTCAGTGCAGGTATATACCAGGTGAATTAGCTGATTGTTTGCGTACACAGATTTCACTTGTTAATTGGTTCAAATGACTTCCAATTGCAGAATGATGAGGAATGGATTGTATTTCTGTTCCGGAAAGGAGATTCTTCACCAGGCCCTCGAAAACAGAAGCAGCTACCTAGGATGGTCCAACTGATTGTGAAGGAACCAAACACACTCCTCCCAGCCCATGTAAGTCTGCAGATGTATCTACTGGTCTGTGTTACTTAGAGGTCTTCACCTCAATCCATCTGTGATGCGATGTTCACTCGTCACGCCAAATACCCAGGTTCAATTCTCCACGTGGGGACAATGTGTGAAACCCACTTCGGGTGTCCCCAGCTGTGATATTGCTGGAATATTGCTAGAAGCAGCATAAAACTAGACTCACTAATTAGATGGTGAGATTCCTTACAAGAACCCCGAGCGATACTCGTCTGTGTTACCCACCATTGGTTCTTATCAGTTTTATTCAGTGTTGTTACCCAACTGTGGTACTTAACCTTGGTACTTAGTGTTATTCAGTGGTGTGCTGTGGTACTCAACTGTGGTACTCAACCTTGGTACTTAGTGTTATTCAGTGGTGTACTGTGGTACCCAACTGTGGTACTCAACCTTAGTACTTAGTGTTATTCAGTGGTGTACTGTGGTACCCAACTGTGGTACTCAACCTTGGTACTTAGTGTTATTCAGTGGTGTACTGTGGTACTCAACTGTGGTACTCAACCTTGGTACTTAGTGTTATTCAGTGGTGTACTGTGGTACTCAACTGTGGTACTCAACCTTGGTACTTAGTGTTATTCAGTGGTGTACTGTGGTACCCAACTGTGGTACTCAACCTTGGTACTTAGTGTTATTCAGTGGTGTACTGTGGTACTCAACTGTGGTACTCAACCTTGGTACTTAGTGTTATTCAGTGGTGTACTGTGGTACCCAACTGTGGTACTCAACCTTGGTACTTAGTGTTATTCAGTGGTGTACTGTGGTACTCAACTGTGGTACTCAACCTTGGTACTTAGTGTTATTCAGTGGTGTACTGTGGTACCCAACTGTGGTACTCAACCTTGGTACTTAGTGTTATTCAGTGGTGTACTGTGGTACCCAACTGTGGTACTCAACCTTGGTACTTAGTGTTATTCAGTGGTGTACTGTGGTACCCAACTGTGGTACTCAACCTTGGTACTTAGTGTTATTCAGTGGTGTACTGTGGTACTCAACTGTGGTACTCAACCTTGGTACTTAGTGTTATTCAGTGGTGTACTGTGGTACCCACCTGTGGTACTCGACCTTGGTACTTAGTGTTATTCAGTGGTGTACTGTGGTACCCAACTGTGGTACTTCAACCTTGGTACTTAGTGTTATTCAGTGGTGTACTGTGGTACCCATCTGTGGTACTCGACCTTGGTACTTAGTGTTATTCAGTGGTGTACTGTGGTACCCAACTGTGGTACTCAACCTTGGTACTTAGTGTTATTCAGTGGTGTACTGTGGTACCCAACTGTGGTACTCAACCTTGGTACTTAGTGTTATTCAGTGGTGTACTGTGGTACCCAACTGTGGTACTCAACCTTGGTACTTAGTGTTATTCAGTGGTGTACTGTGGTACTCAACTGTGGTACTCAACCTTGGTACTTAGTGTTATTCAGTGGTGTACTGTGGTACTCAACTGTGGTACTCAAACTTGGTACTTAGTGTTATTCAGTGGTGTACTGTGGTACCCAACTGTGGTACTCGACCTTGGTACTTAGTGTTATTCAGTGGTGTACTGTGGTACTCAACTGTGGTACTCAACCTTGGTACTTAGTGTTATTCAGTGGTGTACTGTGGTACCCAACTGTGGTACTCAACCTTGGTACTTAGTGTTATTCAGTGGTGTACTGTGGTACCCAACTGTGGTACTCGACCTTGGTACTTAGTGTTATTCAGTGGTGTACTGTGGTACCCATCTGTGGTACTCGACCTTGGTACTTAGTGTTATTCAGTGGTGTACTGTGGTACCCAACTGTGGTACTCAACCTTGGTACTTAGTGTTATTCAGTGGTGTACTGTGGTACCCATCTGTGGTACTCGACCTTGGTACTTAGTGTTATTCAGTGGTGTACTGTGGTACCCAATTGTGGTACTCAACCTTGGTACTTAGTGTTATTCAGTGGTGTACTGTGGTACCCATCTGTGGTACTCGACCTTGGTACTTAGTGTTATTCAGTGGTGTACTGTGGTACCCAACTGTGGTACTCGACCTTGGTACTTAGTGTTATTCAGTGGTGTACTGTGGTACCCAACTGTGGTAGCCAGGTGTGGTCCCTGTCTGTGGGGCTGAATGAACAGTTGTATCAGTTGGGTGTTTCAAACACCCTGGTCATGTGTTCAAGTCTTGGATTCCTACATTTATATTCCTTATTGCAGCATCAGGATATCTCAGGAGCGGAATAATTCCATCACCTGCATCACTGCTGTGCTCTTACGGTAGTTCTATCCAAGTGAATCAAACCCTACACACTCACTCACTCGATGCTCTGGCTAAATTTGGGACTGTATCCGTTACCTAGCAGATAGAATGTAACATCCGTTACCTAGCAGGCAGAATGTAACATGCGTTACCTAGCAGACAGAATGTAACATGCGTTACCTAGCAGATAGAACGTAACATCCGTTACCTAGCAGACAGAATGTAACATCCGTTACCCAGCAGGTAGAATGTAACATCCGTTACCCTGCAGATAGAACATAACATCCGTTTCCCAGCAGATAGAATGTAACATCCATTACCTAGCAGATAGAACATAACATCTGTTACCTAGCAGATAGAACATAACATCCGTTACCTAGCAGATAGAACCTAACATCCGTTACCTAGCAGATAGAACGTAACATCCGTTACCCAGCAGATAGAACGTAACATCGGTTACCCAGCAGATAGAACGTAACATCCGTTACCTAGCAGATAGAACTTCTCCCCAGAGAGTGGAAGGTTGGTGGGACCTATAGATGTTAAAACATGGTTCTACTGATTACTGTGCCTGGTGCTTAGCTCAGAGTCAGTGTACTTGTTTTTAGTGTTTCACAACTGCTTCACCTTGCATCAGTTGTAATGTGCTGTGAATTGTCTTCTTTGTGTACTGAACTGTTAGGATGTTGTTCTCTATAGCCTGTGGAATGTTGTAGGGATCAGTGTGTGATATCATGAATTGCATTGTGTTTTGAATGACATGATCTCCGACTCATCTGTAGACTGATGTTTCCAACAGAGCATGATGTTTTCAGTGTCAGTTATGTGTTGCAGGAACAGCGGCGTGCCTGGGCACATGCCGTCTACTTCTGTCATGAACAGAATCTGGACTTCAAGAGGTTGATACTGAGTCAGCGAGCGGCCATGTAAGTTGCAGTTCTTCCATTGTAATCTTCTCAACACGGATACTAATAGTTATGTAATGTAATAGCCCTTTTCTCGATACATTCACTGCCTCTTTCAACCCATGTTTGTCATAAGAGGCCACTAACGGGATCAAGTGGTCAGGCTCGCTGACATGGTTGACACATGTCATTGTATACCAGTGGCATAGATTGATGCGCATGCTGTTGATCAATGGATTGTATGGTCCAGACTCAAATATTTACAGACCACCGTCATATAGCTGGAATATTGCTGAGTGCAGCATTAAACAACAACCCTACCAAGCCAATCCTTGCCCCTCTCCGCTCCCCACTGTGCTGGTGCTGACTGTTATGTTGACAAACAAGACGTGATGGCTGTCATGATGCCAGATACTGTCCCCATAGCTAAATCATTTTGTTTGTTAGTCAGTTTGAATTCCTATTTCATTTCAACTACAATTTGATTAGCTTAGTGAGAATGTAAGGGTGGTGTTTCATTAGTCTTGCACCTATCTGACCAAGCAAACATGGTTTCATCAGTGAAAAATAAAAAGTCATTGTGTAATCAACACAACATATGTTATATTTGTAATTACACCGATGGTACTGATTATAGGACCATCAGGGATTCGAACCCACACTCTCAGGTTCAGGCACCTGATCATCAGCACACAAAGTCAGCCATTTAACCCAATCAGCCACCGTGGCTTCCACATTTGCCTAGAATGGCAATCTTAAAGTGATGCACACAAACATACATGTCAATACATGATTATTGATATGGCTGCTTGTACTTTTGTGGCAGCAATAATCCTGAGAGTATAACAGAGTGCCGTCCCATGGAAGCACGGCATGTGTTTGTGTGCCCAACAGTGACCTTGCAGCAGTGCCTCAGTGCTCTCCCCTTAATGGGGACAGTTTGCGTGCCCAGGTTGCACAAAACCAAATACTTTCCAATTGGATTCCTGAGTAATGTTATTAAAAAAAATAAAATAAATTAACAAAGCCATCAACAGCTATTACATATATGTGTGCATAGTCTAGCCTTCAAACAGCAATAAAAACTTAAAATAACTATCTCAGCCTATTACAAAAAGCTGACCATACAAACCCCAGTTCCACACAAAATGTCAACCGCGTGAAAATATCTGTGGTCACATTCAGTAAGAAGTGTTAAGAAAGACAGCACTGAATATTCAAATGTGTGGACAGTTTTATTTACTGCATGGTCGTACATTTAAGAAACACAAAAACTTACACCAAAACACGCAATTACAGCTGTGTGGTGAATCCATCTGCCCTGAAGGCTCCCTACAAAAACTGGTTGTAAAACTATGGATTCTGATTTGGTGTAGTGTAACCTCCACAGTGACCCTGCCACAGTCAATGTTCTCCCATTCATTGGGACAGTGTGGATGCATGTGTGCATGCCTGTGCCCTACAGTGATTGTGCAACAGCTCATAAGTACTCTAGGATCCGGGGATTTAACCGGAAGCTGGCAGGGGTAGTGGAGGCGAAGAATGATTTGATAGACAACGAGCGGTGCTTAAAATGTTGAATGAAATAAAGTTTACGTGAGTAATTATTAAATATGAGGTTGGAAATCTGAGAGGACAACCCTGTGGCTCGTCACACTGAAGACCCAGGTTTGATTCCAGAAGTGGATACAATGCGTGTAGCCGAGACATGGCTGGAGTAGTGCTAAAAGCAGTGTAAAAGCACTCTCACTCACTCACCCCATAAGGGCTTTACCCTTAATGACGACAGTGATCTTGTTTCTATGTCCGACAGTGATCTTGCAGCGATCAATGTGTGGTCTCCCCTTAATGGGGACACTGTGTGTTTCTATGTGCCCTCCAGTAATTCTGCAACAGTACTTGTCAGACAGCAGTGTTCAAAATAATTGCCGGGCCCAGAGGCCCAGTGCCGGTTGTTATTGTATCGGACCAGCAGTTTCAGATATTTGCAGGCCCTTGTGGCCTTCAGTAAATTATCTGTCAAATTTTTTCAACTTAAATCTTTCCCATAATTGTTTTCGTTCGGGAATCATCCATGATCCATCATGTTACGATAACTTACAGTTTCACTTTCTGGTAATTCAGCGCTTTGCGCATAGGAATGTCAACACCAGTCTTCAACAAATAGAAACTTCTAACCTGCGCCATAGGCCTCGCTAATTGATTTTGTAGAAACAGTGTGAAACTGTGTACAATACAACTAGTGTAGTCTATTTTGTTTTTACTGGTTTGACTTTAACAAAATGGGCCTGCAGATTTCATTCAGGGCCTGTAGATTTTAAACCTGCAGGCGGCAGCAGGCCCTGATGGCCAACTGGCAAATTAAAGTATTGCAAACACAGTAAAATACACTGGATATTTACAAGCATCAAACATAATCAGTTTTGTTATATTTTTTTGGCAGGCTCAACTTGTTGCGAACAAATTCTACATTCCTTAAATTAAAGAACAGGATGTTGAATGAAATAGGGAAGCTGATAGCAAGAAAGGAACACTTTAAAGAAAGGTAAGTCATACAGCTATCAATTGTTTTCAAGTCAACGGCAATATTCATACATTTATACATTCAGAGATTTCTACTATCATGAATTGTCATAAATCATTATGATTTCAAGCTTAACGTTCTGGGATTATCATGATTATGTAAGGGTTGGGGGGGAGCCTAGTGGTTAAAGAGTTCGCTCATCACGACGAAGACCCGGGTTTGATTCCTCACATGGGTACAATGTGTGAAGCCAATTTCTGGTGTCCCCCATCGTGATATTGCTGGAATATTGCTAAAAGCAGCATAAAACCAAACTCACTCATTCATGATTATGTCAACTATTGAATTATTTATACAAATACTATTTTGAATATAAATGACGTGCACCGTGTACTGCGAAAAATACAATTGATTCTGATCACAGTGGCAGATGGAAACAAAGATAAAAATTGGAATAAAAATCCATGCTTCACAGCAGAGGTTCCTTGGGTAGCTACTGATGAGCAAGTCAAAAAGCTGAAAGTTCCTCCTATTTTATCCAGATATTACTTATAGTCATAAACAGGGTAGGTACCCCAAGGTACAACAGACGAGATCCTACATATTATTTAGCCCACCAATAGATTCTGTTTACCCATGTGCAGAAGGGACACATATTTAAGCTACAGTATATCAACCATTGCATTGTACAGAGATGCCAGCCCTTACGCTTTTTTCATAATTATTACGATTTTAACCATTAAATTACGCCATTACACTTAATCTGCGAAAATTACGGTTTTTCTACTCATTTTTCGAAAATCAATAAAGCGGATATATTTTCACAGGGAAGTGTTTCATAACGCACAGCTGCAGGGTTGCAGAAATGGCCTTACACCGATAGGAATCGCTTACTCTTAGCATCACGCTCATTCCAATTAACTTGTAAGGAATTAAAGTATTTTGTGTCACATGACCAACAATTTTCAATGTATGTCGCTTCATAATGATTGGTCACATGTGTTTCTGTCCAGAATCTTCCTTTCGTGAAAACGTGCACCATGTCGAAGCGATCGGCAGACATTTTATAGGTCCAAATTACACTTTTTGACCTCCTGTATTACACTTAGGCCCCAAATAGGGTTGGCATCTCTGCATTGTATGTAAACAATAGACAATAGCCAATGCTTTAGCTCCGTTTGCGTTATTTTGTGAAGTTTCAACTTCAGTGACATCATCACAGGTGATGCATATTTTTTTTAAATGAGAATAAGAGGCCTTCTGTTATCCCATTGGCGTGCTTCACGTATTGTTTGCCTAATTTTGTGGATATATTCCGCCAACTGTGACAACAGAGCTTTAAACATCAAAGTGACTCTATTGAAGACACGTGACAGCGCACAAAGGCTAAACAAACAGAAATATATTTACAGGTTTTAGAAATATTTTCTCAATGAATGTTAAACATTTGATGTCATCTGTTATCTGAATGTGTTGACTCATTAAATAAGAAAGAGATCAATATAAAACACGTGAATGGTGTGTAAGGTGTGATGATCTGACAGAGGTACGAGGCTGCCTCAAGGAGCTCTGATATGGAGAGTTGTAAGCTTTCACACAGCCATGGCATGTCTCTATTCTAGTTTAGTCTTTCACAAACACTGGCTTCTACTCTAGCCAAGCTGACAGTTACTATTTTGTTGCTCATCCTTAAGAAAAACACACAGTCTTTATCTCCAATTTGCCTTCATTGAAAAGCATGACTCACGCCAGTTTACTCGGCTTAGCACTTTCCTATCATCTTGACACAGAGCTCTATTGTTCTAGTTCAAGAATTGAATTGGCCATTAACTAAGTGTGTTGTGTTAAACTCGAAAAGAAAATTTTTTGCCTTGTTTTAAGATACACAGGTCGGTTGACACACTGGATCCATCAAATGTTCATGAAGTTAATGGTACGAGTGTAATGTTTGTGTATGCTTCTTGTAAATTTACCTCCAATTTACAGTAAGATAAATCTAAACCCTGTAACCATGGCAGCATATTGAATTTTGTGAAAACTGGAACCATGATGCATGATGATAAATTAGTTCAATCTGTTCCCCTTGTTACTGCCATGTTGTTTCCTCCCCAGCCTGGTGTTCGACATGCAGCACTACAAGGACCAGGCGTCTAATGGCGGTATCAGTAAGTACCTCGCCTAGTGCTCTCATTCATAACACTTGCTGTGTGGTTGTCTAACCGTGTGTTAACATGGGATCTAGATAAGTCTCATAAGTGGGAAATCTTGGAAAATGAAAAGTTATACATAGGGATGTCATGATACATAAGTTTCATGAATCGATAGTATCATGATACCGATGTCACGATTCGATACATATCACGTTACCTATTTTCGCTATTGCATAAATTTAGTTTCATTTTGAACATTAATATTAAATATTTTATAATTGTTCATGAAAAGATCAACATTTTTTATTCTCAGAGATTAAAAAGATCTAATTTCCCATCTTTGTGCCTGAAAAATAATCATTTATAACTCTCATAACATCAAAAAAACATGGTACAATTGCAAAATGTAAACAATACATAAACATATTGAAACCAATACTTTCAAAACTAAATATCGATACAGTTTTTAATGTATCAATAATTGTAATCGTCTTAGAAAAAGTATTGATGTATCGTGTCATCCCTAGTTTATACAATGATCATGTGTAGTTACTGTGTGTACAACCTGCTCCAGTGAATGGGCAAGAATTCCTCTTCTTCTTGCATCACTTTCCTTATTCATATTTTATTCAGGTGTCAGTCTTTGCCAATTTCATGGTATCACACTCAACTGAAGGTGGAGTTTGTTTTCAAAGTGGAATTGATAAACAAATGATTCCTTGTTGGGGAAGAATTTGACATGTTTAGGAAACCAGTAGGAATGAGTATGCGGCTGTTTCTAAGAGCTTATCAAGATGTGCCCATATGATGGGAATACAATAGATATCCTAGTATTAGTGTAAGGTTGCCAAATACTCTAATTGTGGAAGCCATTAGGGGTAATGTCTTCATCATACCCTACCCCTGGACCCTGAAAACCCTGATGTAGTGCCCAGTGGGGATTGCAGGTTAGAATTATTATTATAGGATACCCCAGCAAGCTGTTCTGGTCAAAAGAGGCAAGTTGATGGATGACGGGTTCAGGAGTTGTCTAGATAACATATGTCTCTATCGTTGCAGTTTGGATGGTGATCATTATATTGATCACTGGTTTGTCTGGTTCAGACCAGTCAGTCATAGGGTCTGTGGTTGTTCGTGTTGCTAGTGTAGCAGTTTACTTTTGTAATAACTTTTGTCTTCTTTTTCTTTTCAGCATCTGAGAAAATGTTTTCAAAATGGCTGAGAATGTCTGAAGAAATAGAAAGGTATTCAGAACTGGTAAGTGACAATAAATATGACATCAGACTGCTACCACAGTAGCCGAGTGAGATCAGTCCGTACAGTGTCAGTCATAGTCACGTACACTGTTGTTGACCCAGAGTTTTGTGGGACACAAGAAGCATGATTCAGTGGTTTAGTTAAGGGAGTCTAGGTCCTCATCCTGATCATCCAGGAACAGAGCCTGAGAGCCATGGTGGAATATGCCAAGTCATGGCAGAATGTGCACTGTCATAGAGTGAGAACAATACTTCTTGAAATTCCCTGTGCCAAATGTTTACTGCCTATTATTGAGGTCACTAAGCCTCCTCAGCGCCTGTAAAATCATGACCTAGATAGAAGCGAGGAATGTAGGTGTTTTCTTCTTACCTGACTACTCCCTGATGCCCTGCAACGTGTTACACAGGAACAACTGAAGTGTCAGGAGGGCTGTAGCATACCCCCTATCCAAATGTGGAGATTTTACCAAAATCAGTAAATATGGTACACCCGGCCATATCACTCACACTGCGTATCTTGACTATATTGAACAACAGAACATGTCACCCTCCATTAGACCAGGGGGTCAGTATTCGTGCAGTTGGTCAACACAGCGGCTCAGTCAGTAGGGTTTGCTCAAACAAAGGGCCGGTCAGAGTTGAGAAAGACTATTATAGTTACATGAAGTCACTCTCCATTATCTCTCTTTGCTGTCTCCTCTGATGGTTGAACTAAAATTATTTTTAGATCAACTACACATTACCAAAATGTTCATGCAAAGGAAATATGCATCTGCTGCATATATATCTTTATATAGCATTATGTCAGTTATCTATATCAAAGATATAAAAAAAGATACCAGAGTTAAGTGATGAAATATACAATTGCTACAATTTCATGCAATTAATACAATTACTGGCAGTCTGGATATTCAGTGTGTAACCTACATTGTCATCGGCTGCATGTAACGCTGTATCTGGGTCGTGTGGGCTGTGCGGGTCAAGATGTGGGATAAACGCTGGGTTAAAGTAACCTGATACATTCTGTTCCCAGTTCAATATTGACATGGATTTCTGGAGGGTGGGAGCTGTCATACTAATTACTGGATAAAACTTTTACTGCTGCTGAGGGATCCCGAAAAGATAGGCACTTTTCTAGCATTTGGCTAAGGACTTAATACCCCAACATGTTAGCTGTACTCTTGTGAGAACTCAAATCCAGCAGAACCTGCAAAAGCTGTCACCTGGAGCCATCCAATATGGAAAGCCATGACCTTTTGTAAATGAGGATTTCAGAGAGCAAGGAGACACATTAGATCAGATGAATGGGTACCGGTAAATAGGAGAATGGATAAATATTTTGTCCTTTAGGGAACAAGGTTAAATATTGGGTTCAGTAGGAAATAAGGATAAATATTGGGTTCAGTGGGAAACAAGGGTATATATTTTGTCCTGTAGGAGAATGGGTAAATATTGGGTCTTGTATGAAATAAGGGCAAAATCGGTCCAGTAATAAACAGAGCTGACATGGATTTCAATGTCTTGTATTGTTTAATTGTAACTATTCAGTACAGGTACTTGTTTTGTTAGCTTTCTTGAAGATGGTTGTACAACATGTAGTAAAGCCTTTCACTGAAACAAAGCAAGTTGAAATCTATACTTCCGTCATGTCTTCACTTATACCTTGGCTTGTAAGATCTTGGAAGATTGACAGGTATGAGTGAGTGTACTGGGTTCTGCGAGGGTCAGTATTTCCATTCTATCAGCTTGATGCTGGTGACCAGCCAGAAGGGATGCAGGTTGTACACATTTACCATTGAAACCCTTGAGCAAGGGTATGGTGTGCCGAGAATCCTGAAACAGGATGAAACCTTGGATATCAATATCCATGGTCAGAGAACTGAGGCGTGTTCAGAACCGTGAGTGCCAACGAACACTAGCGAGCGCTCGATCCTGAACGTCTGTGCCCGTTCGAACGCCCACACGCGCACGCGAACCATCCTCACAGGTGCCTCACCAAGCGAACCAAGATGGCGACCATGTTTAATGTCATTCGTCACCACTCGCCCCTTTCCGTAACCTCCAACAAGAAGACATTTTTATTTTCACTGGTATTTACAGTATTTCACCCTTAAGAATCTAATAAAAGAAGCTATTCAGTTTGTCCCAGAATAACACGAGTTGGTCACGAATGGTTAAGTGTAACCAAGTGTTCGCATCCGTTTAGGGCCGATGCGAGCACTCTCGGGAGGCAATAGCGTGGGCGTTCGCGGTTCTGAACACACCTCTGGTGTATGCTAAAGGGAAGTAACTGCGCACAGTGAATTTTGGCACTTAACTGACTTGGCTCATGCTGCCTGATGATCTTCAGCCAGAACTTATGATTCATGTTAACCATTACATCAAATAACTATGACCTCAGGAGAAAAGTAATGGTAAGTGTAGTTTGAGTTTTGTTACAGTTGTTTTGTATCTGCACTTCCTCAGAAAGACAGAGTGAACACCTTGGACCAGCAGTCTACAGCCCTGCAGACAAAAATTGTGGAGCTGCAGCGGAGTCCATTTGCCAGAATAAAACAGAACGATGTCCTGTGTGATTGGTAAGCCGCCGCTAGTAGCAGAAACATAAATACATTAACACACAAACAAAACAGAAACCTAATGAGCTATGGCACCAGAAATACGACCCTGACTAGATACACCACCTGAGACAACCCTGACTAGATACCCCACCAGAGACAGAGCCCTGACTAGATACCCCACCAGAGACAGAGCCCTGACTAGATACTCCACCAGAGACAACCCTGACTAGATACACCACCAGAGACAGAGCCCTGACTAGATACTCCACCAGAGACAACCCTGACTAGATACACCACCAGAGACAGAGCCCTGACTAGATACCCCACCAGAGACCAAGCCCTGACTAGATACACCACCAGAGACCGAGCCCTGACTAGATACACCACCAGAGACAACCCTGACTAGATACACCACTAGAGACCGAGCCCTGACTAGATACACCACCAGAGACCGAGCCCTGACTAGATACACCCACCAGAGACAGAGCCCTGACTAGATACTCCACCAGAGACAACCCTGACTAGATACCCCACCAGAGACAACCCTGACTAGATACACCACCAGAGACAAGAGCCCTGACTAGATACACCACCAGAAACAGAGCCCTGACTAGATACCCCACCAGAGACCGAGCCCTGACTAGATACACCACCAGAGACAACAGCCCTGACTAGATACCCCACCAGAGACAACCCTGACTAGATACACCACCAGAGACAACCCTGACTAGATACACCACCAGAGACAGAGCCCTGACTAGATACACCACCAGAGACAACCCTGACTAGATACACCACCAGAGACAGAGCCCTGACTAGATACACCACCAGAGACAACCCTGACTAGATACACCACCAGAGACAGAGCCCTGACTAGATACCCCACCAGAGACAGAGCCCTGACTAGATACACCACCAGAGACAACCCTGACTAGATACATTACCAGAGACAACCCTGACTAGATACACCACCAGAGACAACCCTGACTAGATACACCACCAGAGACAACCCTGACTAGATACACCACCAGAGACAACCCCTGACTAGATACTCCACCAGAGACAACCCTGACTAGATACACCACCAGAGACAACCCTGACTAGATACACCACCAGAGACAAGCCCTGACTAGATACACCACCAGAGACAGAGCCCTGACTAGATACACCACCAGAGACCGAGCCCTGACTAGATACACCACCAGAGACCGAGCCCTGACTAGATACACCCACCAGAGACAGAGCCCTGACTAGATACACCACCAGAGACAACCCTGACTAGATACACCACCAGAGACAGAGCCCTGACTAGATACACCACCAGAGACAGAGCCCTGACTAGATACCCCACCAGAGACAGAGCCCTGACTAGATACACCACCAGAGACAACCCTGACTAGATACACCACCAGAGACAACCCTGACTAGATACACCACCAGAGACAACCCTGACTAGATACACCACCAGAGACAGATCCCTGACTAGATACTACACCAGAGACAACCCTGACTAGATACACCACCAGAGACAACCCTGACTAGATACACCACCAGAGACAACCCTGACTAGATACACCACCAGAGACAGAGCCCTGACTAGATACACCACCAGAGACAGAGCCCTGACTAGATACACCACCAGAGACAACAGAGCCTGACTAGATACACCACTAGAGACCCAGAGCCCTGACTAGATACACCACCAGAGACCGAGCCCTGACTAGATACACCCACCAGAGACAGAGCCCTGACTAGATACTCCACCAGAGACAACCCTGACTAGATACCCCACCAGAGACAACCCTGACTAGATACACCACCAGAGACAACCCTGACTAGATACACCACCAGAAACAGAGCCCTGACTAGATACCCCACCAGAGACCGAGCCCTGACTAGATACACCACCAGAGACAACCCTGACTAGATACCCCACCAGAGACAACCCTGACTAGATACACCACCAGAGACAGAGCCCTAACTAGATACACTACCAGAGACAACCCTGACTAGATACACCACCAGAGACAGAGCCCTGACTAGATACACCACCAGAGACAACCCTGACTAGATACCCCACCAGAGACAGAGCCCTGACTAGATACCCCACCAGAGACAGAGCCCTGACTAGATACACCACCAGAGACAACCCTGACTAGATACATTACCAGAGACAACCCTGACTAGATACACCACCAGAGACAACCCTGACTAGATACACCACCAGAGACAACCCTGACTAGATACACCACCAGAGACAGATCCCTGACTAGATACTACACCAGAGACAACCCTGACTAGATACACCACCAGAGACAACCCTGACTAGATACACCACCAGAGACAGATCCCTGACTAGATACACCACCAGAGACAGAGCCCTGACTAGATGCACCACCAGAGACAGCCTGACTAGATACACTACTAGAGACAGAGCCCTGACTAGATACACCACCAGAGACAGAGCCCTGACTAGATACACAGTCAGAGTCAGAACAACACTTGCTTTGCCACCAATACTTGATACACCACCAAAAGCTGGAATGTTGGCAGCATTTTAATGAGCATGAATATAAATATCAGTTTTGTTTTGTTTTTTAGTGAAGAGTCAGCCAAAAGACTATACCAGGAACTAATGCAGACACCAAAGGGTAAGTCAGTGTAACCTGAGACAACTGAGTGACACCTGAGACAACCCTGACAACCCTAAATTAGTGTGACCTTTGTCTGTGTGACTGGTGACTGGTGTCCAATGTCCTTCTGTTTCACCATTTTGCCAACAAGATACAGTCGAGCACCGTTGTCTCGATATTCATGGGACCAAGAAAAAATATCGAGTTATCCGGACTTCGAGACATCCGACCAGGGCATATCATCACATATCACTATGAAAGAAAACAAAACAAAAAGTAGATTTCATGTATATATATTTGTATATACATTTTACTCACAGGCATTGCAGTCACACACGATACAGCTCTGATACAGTGTCCATCTTGAATGATACGTCATCTCGCCCTCAATCTCTCGATTCCACAAATCTTGTGAACGCATCTGCTGTTCTCAACTGCGATTACACAAAACCCTCAGTGTGTTTGGATTCGTAACTATAATCCGTTATCAGTAGTGTTTAGTCGTAACAGTGAGTACTTCCTAATTAATTCCTTCTTAATTAATCCTAATGAAATAACAAACATGTGACACCTTCAACTCAATTAGCCCTAGTTAGTTTACACTACCGCATCCCTTTGATTCACGCCGCACAGTGTGTAAACGTGTGGAAACAAACTCAGTTCAGAGGGATACTTGCCCATGAAAGGTAGGTGAATATCGAGTTGCTTTGTAAATATCGAGTTAAAAGTCTAATTTTGCTTGTTGGGACCATGAAATTATATCGAGATATCCGAAATATCGAGACATCCGTATCGAGTTAAAAGAGCTTGAATAATGATAAATTATGAAGGATTCTGCCGGAACCGAGATGTTATATGGAGACAACTGAGATATTGAGTTATCAGAGTTCGACACAACGGTGCTCGACTGTACACTCTGTATGTAAGACATTGCCAACACAGATGAATGATGAGGCACACGATGTCCGGGAGGTGTTGTGTAAGACACGAGTTATGAAGGACCCTCAATGTCTGCTCATCTTTGTTCACATATTTCACAATTTCTAAGATAGGTATTTATAAATATAACTGATTTCATCTGACATTCAAATTAGAGACAAGAGGTTCAACATGTATTCTAATGTGCTGTGCACGCTCATTAACTACCACATGAATCTGCTGCAGAGAAATGTAGGTAAATCACTTTGTTAACAGATCAAATAAAAGCAGAATTGATAGTATGTGGAGGCTACTCCGATATTATCAACATTGTCTGTATTATTGTCACTAACCTCTGGTTCCATATGTTAATGTTTGCTTCAGAAAACCGTGGCAACCTGATGGACCACACCAAGATGGTGCAGCCTGTTGTCAAGTGTGTGCTAGTCAGGGACAAGTCCATTGTGGATCTGTACACTTACCTGGGGTGAGAACCAACATCTTTCCATCAGGACAAATATTCAGATTACATCAGCCCAAGTCTTTAGTGGGCTAAATATACCATACCTTAGATGAGAGGATCCTATTTTGATGATTTGTACCCTGATAGTTAAAAACAGGGATATCAGCATGATATAAAGGTATCCAGTAGCAATATACCAACACTTGGGTGTAAGCAGTATAACTGAATTTACAAGCTGAACAAGTTCAAGTGGATATATAATCTCTAGAAAGCTCTTGTCATTTCTGTTACAGCTGTAATAGAAGTATTAGGTAACTCTTCCATGATTCACCATTTTGTGCTCCAATTCTCCATCTAAGTATCTAGCATGGCACACTTATTTACATCAATTCATCATACATATGTCATACAGAGGTTGGGTAACTAAGGGTTCAAGACTTGTCCCAGGGACGACCTAGGTTGTATAAAGCACCATGTGGGTGCAAGGTTGTGGTTCTTGGTGACGTCCATGATATTTCTGGAAAACTGCAGCAAGCAGCATTACTCCCAATTCACTCCTTGCCTCACACACGTTTTTTCTGTCAGTAAAGTGTCGCAGTGCCGCTACGAGCTGCAGAAGATCATGCCATCCCTGGACCAGTGCTGTGAGGAGATTGGTGCGGCGAGTAGACAGCTGATGACCAATCAGCAGAGTCGACAACAAGACATCTGGAATATGCTCAAACTTGTGGTGAGTCACACTTCTAAAATTTCAACTAACATTTCTTATGTTTTAATTTCAATTTCTCCTATCAATGTAAGAGACACCAAAATATTACGCTAATTACGAATATGTTTTCTCAAAGTATTTCCTACATGCACCCAGGATCACCAATCTTCCTGAAGCTGCATTAGTGAAACATAATGGTACTTTGGCTGAAGGCTTACAGTGTTATGTATAAACAATGTTTCTTTGGTACATTTTAGGTTTTCTATATGATAGAGTTTTTTAGTTATCAATAACATTTTGTGATTCTCCGACAAGTATGCATACTGTGGTGTTTGCTGGGCAGCGTGTCTATGAATGACTTGTTGTAGGTGAATAAAAGCTCTCCGACATGTATGCATACTGTGGTGTTTGCTGGGCAGTGTGTCTATGAATGACTTGTTGTAGGTGAATAAAAGCTCTCCGACATGTATGCATACTGTGGTGTTTGCTGGGCAGTGTGTCTATGCATTCTGTGGTGTTTGCTGGGCAGCGTGTCTATGAATGACTTGTTGTAGGTGAATAAAAGCTCTCCGACAAGTATGCATGCTGTGGTGTTTGCTGGGCAGCGTGTCTATGAATGACTTGTAGGTGAATAAAAGCTCTCCGACATGTATGCATACTGTGGTGTTTGCTGGGCAGTGTGTCTATGGATGACTTGTTGTAGGTGAATAAAAGCTCTCCGACAAGTATGCATACTGTGGTGTTTGCTGGGCAGCGTGTCTATGAATGACTTGTAGGTGAATAAAAGCTCTCCGACATGTATGCATACTGTGGTGTTTGCTGGGCAGTGTGTCTATGGATGACTTGTTGTAGGTGAATAAAAGCTCTCCGACATGTATGCATACTGTGGTGTTTGCTGGGCAGTGTGTCTATGGATGACTTGTTGTAGGTGAATAAAAGCTCTCCGACAAGTATGCATACTGTGGTGTTTGCTGGGCAGCGTGTCTATGAATGACTTGTAGGTGAATAAAAGCTCTCCGACATGTATGCATACTGTGGTGTTTGCTGGGCAGCGTGTCTATGGATGACTTGTTGTAGGTGAATAAAAGCTCTCCGACATGTATGCATACTGTGGTGTTTGCTGGGCAGTGTGTCTATGCATACTGTGGTGTTTGCTGGGCAGTGTGTCTATGCATACTGTGGTGTTTGCTGGGCAGTGTGTCTATGCATACTGTGGTGTTTGCTGGGCAGTGTGTCCATGAATGACTTGTTGTAGGTGAATAAAAGCTCTCCGACATGTATGCATACTGTGGTGTTTGCTGGGCAGTGTGTCTATGAATGACTTGTTGTAGGTGAATAAAAGCTCTCCGACAAGTATGCATACTGTGGTGTTTGCTGGGCAGCGTGTCTATGAATGACTTGTAGGTAAATAAAAGCTCTCTGACATGTATGCATACTGTACTGTTTGCTGGGCAGTGTGTCTATGGATGACTTGTTGTAGGTGAATAAAAGCTCTCCGACATGTATGCATACTGTGGTGTTTGCTGGGCAGTGTGTCTATGCATACTGTGGTGTTTGCTGGGCAGTGTGTCTATGCATACTGTGGTGTTTGCTGGGCAGCGTGTCTATGCATACTGTGGTGTTTGCTGGGCAGTGTGTCTATGAATGACTTGTTGTAGGTGAATAAAAGCTCTCCGACATGTATGCATACTGTGGTGTTTGCTGGGCAGTGTGTCTATGAATGACTTGTTGTAGGTGAATAAAAGCTCTCCGACAAGTATGCATACTGTGGTGTTTGCTGGGCAGCGTGTCTATGAATGACTTGTAGGTAAATAAAAGCTCTCTGACATGTATGCATACTGTACTGTTTGCTGGGCAGTGTGTCTATGGATGACTTGTTGTAGGTGAATAAAAGCTCTCCGACATGTATGCATACTGTGGTGTTTGCTGGGCAGCGTGTCTATGGATGACTTGTTGTAGGTGAATAAAAGCTCTCCGACATGTATGCATACTGTGGTGTTTGCTGGGCAGTGTGTCTATGAATGACTTGTTGTAGGTGAATAAAAGCTCTCCGACATGTATGCATACTGTGTTGTTTGCTGGGCAGTGTGTCTATGCATACTGTGGTGTTTGCTGGGCAGCGTGTCTATGGATGACTTGTTGTAGGTGAATGAAAGCTCTCCGACATGTATGCATACTGTGGTGTTTGCTGGGCAGTGTGTCTATGGATGACTTGTTGTAGGTGAATAAAAGCTCTCCGACATGTATGCATACTGTGGTGTTTGCTGGGCAGTGTGTCTATGGATGACTTGTTGTAGGTGAATAAAAGCTCTCCGACAAGTATGCATACTGTGGTGTTTGCTGGGCAGCGTGTCTATGAATGACTTGTAGGTGAATAAAAGCTCTCCGACATGTATGCATACTGTGGTGTTTGCTGGGCAGTGTGTCTATGGATGACTTGTTGTAGGTGAATAAAAGCTCTCCGAAATGTATGCATACTGTGGTGTTTGCTGGGCAGTGTGTCTATGCATACTGTGGTGTTTGCTGGGCAGTGTGTCTATGCATACTGTGGTGTTTGCTGGGCAGCGTGTCTATGAATGACTTGTAGGTAAATAAAAGCTCTCTGACATGTATGCATACTGTACTGTTTGCTGGGCAGTGTGTCTATGGATGACTTGTTGTAGGTGAATAAAAGCTCTCCGACATGTATGCATACTGTGGTGTTTGCTGGGCAGCGTGTCTATGGATGACTTGTTGTAGGTGAATAAAAGCTCTCCGACATGTATGCATACTGTGGTGTTTGCTGGGCAGTGTGTCTATGAATGACTTGTTGTAGGTGAATAAAAGCTCTCCGACATGTATGCATACTGTGTTGTTTGCTGGGCAGTGTGTCTATGCATACTGTGGTGTTTGCTGGGCAGCTTGTCTATGGATGACTTGTTGTAGGTGAATAAAAGCTCTCCGACATGTATGCATACTCTGGTGTTTGCTGGGCAGTGTGTCTATGCATACTGTGGTGTTTGCTGGGCAGTGTGTCTATGGATGACTTGTTGTAGGTGAATAAAAGCTCTCCGACATGTATGCATACTGTGGTGTTTGCTGGGCAGTGTGTCTATGGATGACTTGTTGTAGGTGAATAAAGCTCTCCGACATGTATGCATACTGTGGTGTTTGCTGGGCAGTGTGTCTATGGATGACTTGTTGTAGGTGAATAAAGCTCTCCGACATGTATGCATACTGTGGTGTTTGCTGGGCAGTGTGTCTATGGATGACTTGTTGTAGGTGAATAAAAGCTCTCCGACATGTATGCATACTGTGGTGTTTGCTGGGCAGTGTGTCTATGGATGACTTGTTGTAGGTGAATAAAAGCTCTCCGACATGTATGCATACTGTGGTGTTTGCTGGGCAGTGTGTCTATGGATGACTTGTTGTAGGTGAATAAAGCTCTCCCGACATGTATGCATACTGTGGTGTTTGCTGGGCAGTGTGTCTATGAATGACTTGTTGTAGGTGAATAAAAGCTCTCCGACATGTATGCATACTGTGGTGTTTGCTGGGCAGTGTGTCTATGAATGACTTGTTGTAGGTGAATAAAAGCTCTCCGACATGTATGCATACTGTGGTGTTTGCTGGGCAGTGTGTCTATGAATGATGGATGACTTGTTGTAGGTGAATAAAGCTCTCGACGCCATTATGCATACTGTGGTGTTTTGCTGGGCAGTGTCTATGGATGACTTGTTGTAGGTGAATAAAAGCTCCCGACATGTATGCATACTGTGGTGTTTGCTGGGCAGTGTGTCTATGAATGACTTGTTGTAGGTGAATAAAAGTGTTTGCTGGGCAGTGTGTCGACATGTAGGTGAATAAAAGCTCTCCGCATGTATGCATACTGTGGTGTTTGCTGGGCAGTGTGTCTATGCATACTCGCTGGTGTTTGCTGGGCAGCGGTGTATGCATACTGTGGTGTTTGCTGGAGCAGCGTGTCTATGCATACTGTGGTGTTTACCGCTGGGCAGTGTGTCTATGGATGACTTGTTGTAGGTGAATAAAAGCTCTCCGACATGTATGCATACTGTGGTGTTTGCTGGGCAGTGTGTCTATGGATGACTTGTTGTAGGTGAATAAAAGCTCTCCGACAAGTGTACTGTGCATACTGTGGTGTTTGCTGGGCATGGATGACTTGTTGTAGGTGAATAAAAGCTCTCCGACATGTATGCATGTGGTGTTTGCTGGGCGGTGTGTCTATGTGACTTGTTGTAGGTGAATAAAAGCTCTCCGACATGTATGCATACTGTGGTGTTTGCTGGGCAGTGTGTCTATGGATGACTTGTTGTAGGTGAATAAAAAGCTCTCCGACATGTATGCATACTGTGGTGTTTGCTGGGCAAGCGTGTCTATGCATACTGTGGTGTTTGCTGGGCAGCGTGTCTATAGATACTTGGTAGGTGAATAAAAGCCTCCGACTACGTATGCATACCCTGTGGTGTTTGCTGGGCAGTGTGTCTATGGATGACTTGTTGTTGTAGGTGAATAAAAGCTCTCCGACATGTATGCATACTGTGGTGTTTGCTGGGCAGTGTGTCTATGGATGACTTGTTGTAGGTGAATAAAAGCTCTCCGACATGTATGCATACTGTGGTGTTTGCTGGAGCAGTGTGTCTATGAATGACTTGTTGTAGGTGAATAAAAGCTCTCCGACAAGTATGCATACTGTGGTGTTTGCTGGGCAGTGTGTCTATGGATGACTTGTTGTGGAATGAATAAAGCTCTCCGACATGTATGCATACTGTATGCATACTGTGGTGTTTGCTGGGCAGTGTGTCTATGCATGACTTGTTGTAGGTGAATAAAAGTCCTAATATGTATGCATACTGTGGTGTTTGCTGGGCAGTGTGTCTATGGATGACTGTGGTGTAGGTGAATAAAAGCTCTCCGACATGTATGCATACTGTGGTGTTTGCTCAGTGTGTCTATGGATGACTTGTTGTAGGTGAATAAAGCTCTCCGACATGTATGCATACTGTGGTGTTTGCTGGGCAGTGTGTCTATGCATATGACTTGTCTGTAGCATACTGTGGTGTTTGCTTGGGGCATATATGCATACTGTGGTGTTTGCTGGGCAGTGTGTCTATGGATGACTTGTTGTAGGTGAATAAAGCTCTCCACGACATGTATGCATACTGTGGTGTTTGCTGGGCAGTGTGTCTATGGATGACTTGTTGTAGGTGAATAAAAAAGCTCTCCGACATGTATGCATACTGTGGTGTTTGCTGGGCAGTGTGTCTATGACGACTTGTTGTAGGTGAATAAAAGCTCTCCGACATGTATGCATACTGTGGTGTTTGCTGGGCAGTGTGTCTATGAATGACTTGTTGTAGGTGAATAAAAGCTCTCGACATGTATGCATACTGTGGTGTTTGCTGGGCAGTGTGTCTATGGATGACTTGTTGTAGGTGAATAAAAGCTCTCCGACAAGTACATGCATACTGTGGTGTTTGCTGGGCAGTGTGTCTATGGATGACTTGTTGTAGGTGAATAAAAGCTCCCGACATGTATGCATACTGTGGTGTTTGCTGGGCAGTGTGTCTCATGAACGACTTGTTGTAGGTGAATAAAAGCTCCCGACATGTATGCATACATGTGGTGTTTGCTGGAGCAGTGTGTCTATGAATGACTTGTTGTAGGTGAATAAAGCTCTCCGACATATGCATACTGTGGTGTTTGCTGGGCAGTTCATGGACCGACATCAGTATGCATTGCGTGGCTTTGCTGGGCAGTGTGTCTATGGATGACTTGTTGTAGGTGAATAAAAGCTCTCCATTATGTATGCATACTGTGGTGTTTGCTGGGCAGTGTGTGCATACTGTGGTACGACAAGGTAGCTATTCATGCATACTGTAGGTGAATAAAAGCCTCCATTACTATGCATACTGTGGTGTTTGCTGGGCAGTGTGTCTATGGATGACTTGTTGTAGGTGAATAAAGCTCTCCGACATGTATGCATACTGTGGTTTGCTGGGCAGTGTGTCTATGCATACTGTAATGGTGTTTGCTGGGCAGCGTGTCTATGCATACTGTGGTGTTTGCTGGGCAGCGCGTGTCTATGCATACTGTGGTGTTTGCTGGGCAGTGTAATCTATGGATGACTTGTTGTAGGTGAATAAAAGCTCTCGACATGTATGCATACCATTCGCATGGTGTTGCTGGGCAGTGTGTCTATGGATGACTTGTTGTAGGTGAATAAAAGCTCTCCGGTGACATGTATGCATACTGTGGTGTTTAGCACAGGCGGTAAGCAATCTATGGATGACTTGTTGTAGGTGAATAAAGCTCCTCCGACATGTATGCATACTGTGTGGTGTTTGCTGGGCAGTAATGTCTGTAGTTGACTTTGTTGTAGGTGAATAAAAAGCTCCCACATGTATGCATACTGTGGTGTTTGCTGGAGCAGTGTGTCTATGAATGACTTGTTGTAGGTGAATAAAAGCTCTCGACATGTATGCATACTGTGGTGTTTGCTGGGCAGTGTGTCTATGGATGACTTGTTGTAGGTGAATAAAAGCTCTCCGACATGTATGCATACTGTGGTGTTTGCTGGGCAGTGTGTCTATGAATGACTTGTTGTAGGTGAATAAAAGCTCTCCGACATGTATGCATACTGTGGTGTTTGCTGGGCAGTGTGTCTATGGATGACTTGTTGTAGGTGAATAAAGCTCTCCGATGTATGCATACTGTGGTGGTTTGTGGGCAGTTGTCTGGATGACTTGTTGTAGTGTGCTCTACATGTATGCATACTGTGTCTATGTGTGTTTGCTGGGCAGCGTGTCTATGCATACTGTGGTGTTTGCTGGGGCAGGCGTGTCTATGCATACTGTTGGTGTTTGCTGGGCAGTGTGTCTATGGATGACTTGTTGTGGTGAATAAAAGCTCTCCCGACATGTATGCATACTGTGGTGTTTGCTGGGCAGTGTCTATGGATGACTTGTTGTAGGTGAATAAAAGCTCGACATGTATGCATACTGTGGTGTTTGCTGGGCAGTGTGTCTATGCATACTGTGGTGTTTGCTGGGCAGCGTGTCTATGCATACTGTGGTGTTTGCTGGGCAGCGTGTCTATGCATACTGTGGTGTTTGCTGGGCAGTGTGTCTATGGATGACTTGTTGTAGGTGAATAAAAGCTCTCCGACATGTATGCATACTGTGGTGTTTGCTGGGCAGTGTGTCTATGGATGACTTGTTGTAGGTGAATAAAAGCTCTCCGACATGTATGCATACTGTGGTGTTTGCTGGGCAGTGTGTCTATGAATGACTTGTTGCAGGTGAACAAAGGCAAGCAGGCGGGTACTCTGATGCGATCCAACTCGCGCTCAAGCTCATCTGGACCATCAAGTCTTGGCAGCCTGTTTGGTGCTGGAGCGCCGATGTCCTTCCAGACCAGTGGGAATCAGGAGTCACTGAGGGTCATGGAGGAGTCGAAGGAACACCAGAAGAAGTGAGGGATCCCTCTCCATACCAGTGTACTTGGTGGAGGCAGTGTAGAGGCTTTACTGGGTTGGCAACATAGGAGGGCAATATCATCACTGGAAGGTATAGGGAATACATAGTAGGAGCAGAACAGTGTAGAAGACTCCTGCCAAATGAAGCAAACGGACACCTTCAAATGAGGCAAATGGAGATGGTTTAAAGCATACCAGACAGTAATGTGAACAATAGGTTTACTGTAATCTCAACAATAGGTTGACTGTAATGTGAACAGTAGGTTGACTGTAATGTGAACAGTAGGTTGACTGTAATGTGAACAGCTTGACTTTAATGTGAACAGTAGGTTGACTGTAATGTGAACAATAGGTTGACTGTAATGTGAACAGTAGGTTGACTGTAATGTGAACAGTAGGTTGACTGTAATGTGAACAATAGGTTTACTGTAATGTGAACAGTAGGTTGACTGTAATGTGAACAGTAGGTTGACTGTAATGTGAACAGTAGGTTGACTGTAATGTGAACAGTAGGTTGACTGTAATGTGAACAGTAGGTTGACTGTAATGTGAACAATAGGTTTACTGTAATGTGAACAGTAGGTTGACTGTAATGTGAACAATAGGTTTACTGTAATGTGAACAGTAGGTTGACTGTAATGTGAACAGTAGGTTGACTGTAATGTGAACAATAGGTTGACTGTAATGTGAACAATAGGTTGACTGTAATGTGAACAATAGGTTGACTGTAATGTGAACAGTAGGTTGACTGTAATGTGAACAATAGGTTTACTGTAATGTGAACAGTAGGTTGACTGTAATGTGAACAGTAGGTTGACTGTAATGTGACCAGTAGGTTGACTGTAATGTGAACAGTAGGTTGACTGTAATGTGAACAGTAGGTTGACTGTAATGTGAACAGTAGGTTGACTGTAATGTGAACAGTAGGTTGACTGTAATGTGAACAGTAGGTTGACTGTAATGTGAACAGTAGGTTGACTGTAATGTGAACAGTAGGTTGACTGTAATGTGAACAATAGGTTTACTGTAATGTGAACAGTAGGTTGACTGTAATGTGAACAGTAGGTTGACTGTAACTTAAACAGGTTGACTGTAATCTGAACAGGTTGACTGTAACTTAAACAGTAGGTTGACTGTAATCTGAACAATAGTTCAATGGCTAACCTGCATGTTGATCTGTTCCAGATTTGAGGAGATGATGCACAGTCTCCGAGAGGAACAGGAGGAGAACATGTCGCTCATGACATCCATCAACGATGTCATTGATATTGCTGACCCTGGCAGCTAGGACTGCCCCAACTTATTCCAGCTTGACTTAAGGGACACCGTGCATTAGTTTAGCGTTGAGTGAGTGATGTGGGAGGAACACCTGTCCCAGGGAGGCAGCGGCAGATGGTACTGGGTCTTACACACGTCATTCATCTTCCGTCAGCTATAGTTTCTAGAGGAATCAACAACCGGCTTCACATGCTGCGTTATCCCACTGGCTACAAGTGTTAGGGAGATGTGGGGACAGACACCAGGTGTCATGATTGGTGTCAAGTGATTCCACATTTATGGCTGATGTTATCAGATAACCATTAATGGACTTCATCATTGTTTTATCTAATGGCCAAGGTTTTAAGTACTGAGCTTTGTAACATACATGTATACATGAGAGAGTATGAATGAGAGTGTTTCATGACTGTGATTGTGTGTGGTATCTTCAGGCTAGGGTTAGTGTTGTTACCATTCTTATAAGATTCTGTGAACATTGTGTGATTTTTATGTTAATTGTCCCTATGCCTGAAGTATCTGTAAGAAGCTATGAATATAAGTGGATTAAGGGTCTGTTTAGTGTTCAGTGAAACTGTCCTTTGGCAATTCAAGGGTAGGACTGGCCCCAAGTACAGGGAAACATCTGAATTTAATGGTCATGCTCTGTGTTGCATGTGTATTGTCACAGGTGAATGTCATGCGTCATTATATATATGTGTGATGAGACTCAGCCTTGTACAGGCCACCAGTATATGGCTCAGTGTTCAGGGAGGGAATCAACCAGGTATGTCTGCTCAAGCCAAATAGTGATCCAACAAAATGTTGGAAATTCTCCTAGCCATCAGGGATCCCTTTAACATTATCAAAGCTAGCAGCCAGTGAGCTACTGCTTGTTTTCAATGCATGAATGATTAAATACAATTAAAGATGCATGTTCACATGTACATCCAGTACATCCTCTGCTTGCATCCTGTACAAGGGTACTAAGTGTAGAACTCCCGTGGAATATTGCCCAAAGTGTTATAAAACTATATTCACTCACCTTGTTGTTTCTTGCAAGTATATTACAAGTTATGACTTCACACACAGGCCCATTTCATTGGCTCCTATGGACATGACTGTCACCATTCTGTGCCTACACAGATATTGTTCATAACGGCGCGTCGGTGTGTCTGTGATGAAGCGAGGGATGTGAGATGTGGAAAAGTGTTGACTCATCAATCCAAAAACTCATAGATCATGATGTGTTAATAAAACTGTTTTGTTTATGTTTTGAGTTAAAATCGATTTGTTACACCATGTTTTAACCACCACTGTGACGTCTCGGTATATGAGATAAACAGGGTATCAGCTATGTTATAATACAGGTATCAGATATTGTACATTGAATGCAGCCTTGGCTTGGTTCCAGATTATTTTGTTAATATGAATTTGAGGTTTTATGTCTATTAAATATTTTAGTTAGACTTGATGAAAGTATGCATTCAACAGACTTCTTTTATGTGAGTGTGACGTTTCGATACAGATTCTTGTACCATTGCCAAGCACCTGTGTCAAAACGTTGCAGTCATGAATAAAAGAAGTGGTTATCCGTAAAGTTTGTTCTATATTGTACTTCTCAACTTCTAAAATGCCACTCAAAGAAGAGACCCTTGTTCAGTTAGTTGATGCTAGACTTGATGAAAGTATGCATTCAACAGACCCTTGTTCATTTACTTGATGTAAGTATGCATTCAACAGACCCTTGTTCATTTAGTTGATGAAAGTATGCATTCAACAGACCCTTGTTCATTTAGTTGATGAAAGTATGCCTTCAACAGACCCTTGTTCATTTAGTTGATGCTGGACTGGCATGCATTCAACACTTTTTCAGTTAGTTGTGACAGTGTACAAGAAATGTTTTATCATGCAGTTTTGAATCTACATTGTTTTTTGTACAAAGTGATGAATTGTTGAACATCTTAGCAATGAAATTTGTAAAAACTAAAGAAAATATGGTTCAAATTATGTTTAATTTCAAAATATGGTAGTTTGCCTTTTTTAGCTTTTGAATAAAAGCCTTCTACTGCTTTTATGGAGAACTGCTTTAGAACTAACGCAGGGATTTATCTAGAGCTGCTCACACCTGAGAACTATTCCTCTAGGCGGCTGAAAACTTGCGTTTAAGTACTGACATTACAGTCACCTCAGTTTCATTGATTTTTGCCCCAGATCAGCAGGATATTTCTGTGAAAATTCCCAGTCCCAATTCCCCTGCCAAGAGCACTTTGTCCTAGGTAAGTCCCTGGGGGGGATGTGTTTTGTCATGAACCAAAGGTACCACTCAAACAACAGATACCACATCTTAGATTAAGGTCGGTTGAGTAAAAGGAACGATATCGCTTGTGGCACTGTGACAATCAGTGATTCATGTGTTGTCTTTGGTGATATCAATTCAGCTTTGTTAATTTCAAAGAAACTTGCACATAAAACAGCAATGCAAAGGTTACGTGCAAATATTCACCCGAGACTAGCTTCCACCCGAGCGATGTTTGTAATAGTGACACATCTCTTTTTCTGTCATTACTTCGACCCGTGAAGGTCCGGGTTAGAATGAATCTTCAGTCACCCATGCTTGGCATAAGAGATGACTAACGGGATCGGGGGTCAGGCTCACTGACTGGGTTGACAAATGTCATTAGTTCTCAATTGCGCAGATCGATGCTCATGCTGTTGATCACTGGATTGTCTGGTCCAGATTCGGTTATTAACAGACTGCCGCCATATAGCTGGAATATTGCTGAGTGTGGCGTAAAACTAAACTCACTCACTCACTGTCATCACTGGCGGCTGACTTTGTGTGCTAGCGATTAGGTGCCTGACTCTGCGGGTGTGGGTTCAAATCCCGGAGGGGACTCAACCCAACAAAAGTACTAGTACTGTACTTTACTAACAAAGCGTAATCCCAAATATAACATATGTTACATGGTGTACAGAGTTGTGGCCCTTGGCATGTTCAGCAGGGCCTGCATTAAGTAACAGGTTTGAATCCCATCTTCAGTCTGGTTATGATCCATGGTTTTAAGTAATGTCAGGTTGCGTACAAGTTCTGTGTAAGTCAGTTTACGTGACTCATTTGATGATGCTCTACAGTATTATGTACTCTGTATTCCTCCATTAGGCTGACTGACTGAGTTTAGTTTTACGCCGCTTTTAGCAATATTCCAGCAATATCACGGCGGGGGACACCAGAATTGGGCTTAACACATTGTGCCCATGTGGGGAATCGAACCTGGGTCTTTGGCGTGATCCTCCATTAGGAATGTGTAAGTTGGGTCTACAGTTAACAGTATTGCTGTTATGTCGTGAATTGTCAGCGTAATTTGGTAAAGCATACCAGCATTAGTATTTCACTGACGAACCTTGAAACATTATTGGAATGAACTGGGGTTCAAACCCACAATCACTGGTTCCTGGCAAGCACAAGGGATGCAACTCTGTCCAGCGAAATGTGTCGGCCTGACAACTGGGCCAACCATGTGCATTCCAGGAGGAAGGTATAGTGTTTACCAGACATGAGGATGCTAAATATATTGCATACATTTGTATCCATGGAACAATGTTTAAATATTCAGTCCAGTGCTTCGTACAATATGTTATTTATTATCCTGTGTATATAACTTTGTTTGTTGTACATATACAGATGTTGCCTGACATTGTGAATATAGACCAGTGACGAGTCGTGTGTACATAATGTATGATATATATGTTAATAATGATCAGCCCTCACCTCCCATACCAGCTGAATCATGTCGCTTTCAACAGATCACAAATCATGAAAGCTTTCAACAGATCGCTAATAATGTAGCTCTTTACAGATTACAAATTAAAAGTTCATATTTGAAATTGTACATAAGCATTTCTCAGCTGATGCATGTACACACACACACACACACACACACACACACACACACACACACACACACACACACACACACACACACACACACGCGTGCACACATACACACAGACAGAACAAACACATGCATAAACATGCATGCATGTGCACTCCTTGCTAGGTAAATTTTGATAATGGTGTATGTGACGATAATCCCAATTTCACCTACCCCTTTTGTCTACCACTGATGGGTCAGTCAGAGTCAAGGTAGGACAAACATGGATGTACTGGTAATGTCTCAACTTCACTGGCTCTGGGCCAGCTGATTAGGATGTGTATTGAGTAGAAATGTGTTAAAGACAGATACCGGTACTTTCAATTTAAAACAGTTTTTCACAATTAACAGTTTCTACTGTTTTACATCTTACGAGATATACACGCTATGGTTTCACTATAGAACTTGGTTGCATTTTTCCTGATTAAAATCAACCAATGAGGCCTGATTCTGTGCTTCAAGTTCCAAATTCATTGTAGGTAATTTACAATGGAAAACAGGATGTCCATCTCCTTCAGTGTATGTTCAGTTTGGAGTGACCACACCAAGACATGAACACACTATGCCTTGGACATAAGTGAGATGTAGCAAATGTTAGATTTGGGTCTACACCAGCATTTGTACTTGACAATATGTTTTACTTATTAAGGTGGTCAAATTACAAATGTAAGATTGACCTGAAACTTATGAATGTAACCTGGCCTATGTATCTTGTATTGGCATAGATTACTTACCTATACTCCGCACAAAAAGTTAAGCAACACAAATGTTTAGTCTCATTACAATTAACAAAATAAAATGAAATGGTATTGAGCAATAATAGACTTACAAATCATCAAAAGCATGTACCATGAAACAGTCGTGCAAAATGTGCTGCATTGATGAAGTAAAATGTTAACATGAAGGTTCAAGTCAGTTTTGGACAGTGAAGCAGTGTTCAGTAACGCGTATGACCACCATGAGCACAAACGCAAACTTCTACACTTCTTGGCATTGACCAAATGAGCCTTTACAGTTGCTGTCTAATGTTCTGCCATTCACTCTGTAACGCCTGCTCAAGGTCATCCAGAATCAGGGCGGTGGGGTAGCCTAGTGGTTAAGGCGTTCGCTCGTCACGCCGAAGACCCGGGTTCGATTCCCCACATGGGTACAATGTGTTAAGCCCATTTCTGGTGTTCCCCCGCCGTGATATTGCTGGAATATTGCTAAAAGCGGCGTAAAACCAAACTCACTCACTCCCTCATCCAGAGTCTGGCTGTGAACATGGAGACCGCAAACACAACTTCCAATAATGTCCCAAGCATATTCAATGGGATTAAGATCAAGTGACCTGCAGGCCAGTCCATGTGTGATGCTGTTGATCTAAACAACATCGTTAACAACTCTTTCTCAGGCATTATCATCCATGGACGGGCATTATCATCAATAAGAATGAAGTTAGGACCCGTTTGTTGTACCAGACGAATGATTACAGGTAGGTTTACACCGATCAGGGTGCATGTGTGAAGAGTGGAGGACATTCATGCCACACATTTTGCATGTTGTTTCTTAGGGTGGTTGTGTTCGGGTGTTGTCAACGTTATCAGATAAATCAATTTGACAGTCACTAAAGGTTATGTATTCTTTGAATATTTACCTTTCAGTAACATGTCGGCAAAAATCTCTATCGGGATTGATAAAGATATTACACTGAAAATACTAGTTGCTTAATTTCTTGTGAGGAGTATATAAATATCTTTTATTGATGGTTGAAACATGGTTAAACCTTTATCCTCTCTAAAGATATTCACAGTTTGAGAATATTGAAGTTTTCTCTCATCATGTATGCATACATTTGTCTCCAAGGCAACAATAGCCTCGACATGTTGGATGTGAAATCATATTAAATTGTTTCATATTTTGACAGAATGTATTGTTGTGCTTGTTGTGTGATGCTGACCAAACATTAGTAGTCCAGCATAGGAAAAGTCTACTGGCCCTGTAGCATCTCCTCTATGTGCACCCTAAAATGGCGGTACTAACAGACAGCTGGTGTACTTCTGTCCACAGACAGTGTGTGTAACATGTCTATTACTTCCTGTCCATGTTCATAGATAGTTTACCAGGCATCTATAACAAGTAACAATAAGGAACCACTCAAGAAGGTAACCACTGTCCCACACAGGGTTGTTTTGGTAGCTTGTCCTGCTTAGAGTTTCGAGTCAATCTAATACTGATAATTCTGCAGAAACTGATATTACTCTGTCACCCAACCACTGGAACAGAATCTATTACATTTCACTAGTAACAGTGTGTGAAATAAGCCAAAAACGCAACCAGACATCAGGACTGGTAACTTCAGCCCAAAATGGATTTAACCAGACCAAACAATCTAAAGAAAATAACTCAATTTTTTACTCAGGTGTATGGAACATGTTATCTAAAATATTTACCAGACCATTTGGCTGGCTGGCGGTAAATTTAGACCGTCCGTCAGATATCTATTCTGTCTTGGGCGGTCGGACAGGCCTTACTTCATACACTGCTCGTACCCACTGTGGTAGTGTCAAAAACTGCAAGTCAGGCTGTTGGTTTGACAGTAATCTTAGAGACTGACAGACAGATAGACAGACAAGTTTATTCAGTAAAAGGCCACAGGCCCATCATACAGTCATTTGCATATGATATAGATAGTTGAGTGCACATGCTGTGTAAGAGGAACATTTCTAATGCGCTGAAGTACATGATACAGAAAAATACTGACATCTTTTATGATACAGTCATTATGTGTTTTCATAATGTTAATAAAATTGGCATTTGGATCAAAATCAGTCAAATATTTCTGAATATATCTTAACCTTAAATCAGAAAAGCGTTCACACTTAAGGAGTATATTAGAATTTTGAATTGAAGTGAACCAACATTGTTTAAGATTATCCGAAAGTCTGTTTAAACAAGGATATGAAATAATCAACATTGCCAACATCCTGACTGATCATGCATAAGATTCTTGAGAGGCATTTAGAAGTTGGTGAATATATAACATTGCCAACATCCTGAGTACATGATTCTTGAGAGGCATGTCATGGACGGCACGGCAACTTCTTGTTTATTGTATATCACAACGTTTCTGGGCTACTTCTTGCCCCATCTTCAGGT